ATTTTTTTCTTATTTACCTACATTTTTCATATTTTGGTTAGCTTACCCTGCTCACTTCTAAGACATAAAATGGATTGGTCATTTCTTAGCGAAGGCGATTACCTATAGAAAGTTATAAATAATAAATAAATAAAAAATCCTTACACATTTTAATGCCCATACCTAACCATGTACTGACTATTAAGTAAAAATCTAACAATCCCTTACTCCTTCCAGCTACTTACTACCGGAACGGGGTCGTCTAGCCAAGCAAAAGACGGCTGTATGTCGCCGTACATTAAGCCCAGTATGGGAACATACGTTCACATATCGAGGACTAGCACCGCATGAGCTCGCCCAGCGCGCGCTTGAACTATCTCTTTGGGACCGCGACCGACTCGCCTCCAACGACTTCATGGGCGGCGTCAGACTCTCACTTGGATCTGGTATGTATATTTATACCTCTTAAACTGTCAAACACCGCGAGGACACCGGTGACCGCAACCTATTGTTCTTTAATTGTGTCTATAATGACTGTACTCAAAGAGTTCAATAAATAAATACTTACTTATATATACGCTTTTTGACAGTTTTTGTAATAATTGTATAGTTCTAAGGAGAAAATTACAGAAGACTAAAAAATATTGAGACTAATTAATTATGTTTTAACGGCTTATTCATAATATGAGCCCCTGCCTTTAGGCCTGGCTTGAAATAAAGCAGTTACGCTAATAAATAGTTATTTGTCAATTTGTTATTTGTCATGTCAAAATTAGACATTTGATTTTCATCTGGTTTAGATTTGTACTATAATGTGGAGTTTAAAATTATTATACTTAATAATGGTGATTTTTCTATGCAGGAACCTACATGGGTGCCAACGTCAATTGGATGGACAGTACCGGCAAGGAGGTGACCCTGTGGCAGACCATGATGCAGCGACCCAACTTCTGGGTCGAAGGCTCACTACAACTCAGACCTAACCTTAGCAACTGAACTTAATACGTTACTGGGCAGTTCTATAGAAAAACAACTACTATTAGACAGCGCTACTTACAAGATACCACATAAATATCATATCGTGCCAATATTGTATAAGCATTTCTTACTTGCAATAAGAAATCGATTTTAATATCAGAGGTCTCAATGTAAGTAGCGCCATCTATGATTTTATTACGGTAACTCTAATATCTATTTTGGTGTTTGTTTTTTTTATACTTTTTCTATTTTTTATTTTATTACAGTGATATTATTTTTCATTTAAATCAAAGATGTCTATTATCATATTGAGGTGACGGTATTGAATAGATTATTTTATAGAATTGCCCACCTGATTAGTTTTGTTGTGCGTCCCTAACTTTAATTCGTAGGAAATTAAAATGAATACATAATTACGTATCAATGATCACATGACATCGAAATCTAAACAAAGTATTGTAAATGAAACTGCGTTGAGTGTATTCAATTTTATTATATTCATTATTTTATATTATAAAACATTTTTCTTAAACATTGATACTCTACTACTTACACTGCTAAACCCAATCCTGTTTCTGTGGTTATAAGTGCCAATAACTCAATCTATATGTACCTATTTTATACTTAATTATGTTCTAAGTATTACACATCAAAATATTTACTCGTTCGATATTTAGACGCCTAATTTTGATATAAAACATTCCATTGATATAATATTAAAATAATAGCTTTAAGTATCAAATGACAATAATATTTTTTCATATTTCAAACTGCCTTTAGTTAGTTTACACTAAGTTATGCATTTAAAATAGAATTTTAATGTACAAATTAAGTCTACATGGGTTTAAGACGAGCTCATGCATATTGTGATTATAACGTTTAGGAGTTCTTATAAAAATTGAATGAATGAATGAATGATAAATGTTGCCTGTGTATAATAATTGGAATGCAAGTTAAATGTTTAATTTAACGACTATAAGACGTCCGTAGTTTGTATATTATATTATTATAGACATATTGATTCATAAGTATTTGTTTATTATAATATAAACTTAAATATTTTTTTATATAAACTTATTGTGAATTTAAAACAATCTGGAAATAAATATGCTGAATAAGTCTTTAAGTGATTGTGTGTCATTTTAATTAATCCTTCTTCTAATCTAATTACACAATTAATCTAATTAATCTTTTGACCGCCACGTCAAAAAAGTAAAGACGTACCCTTAGCGCCAAGCTAAGAATTCATTTTTAATAGTTTTTTAAAATTATTACAAGTTTTTGTCACCTTACGTAAATATAGACGAAATATAAAGAAATAATGTCAATAAATATAAATAAAAATTAGTCAAGGAGCATAATTAGCAAAAGAAATAGTCGTGCTGGGCACTTTTTGACATGTCATCTATAAATAACTCTGACGGTTAAAAGGTTAATAATTATTATTTTATATATAATGGTCTTTCAATTTATTTGTGCATCTTGAAGTGTCTACTTTGGCAATTAATTTTCGGTTTCTTTGTCAAGAAATTGTGATAATGTCATTCCAGTGTTTCTAAATAGCTTGGTATGTTGCAGTACATGATGTTGTGTCCCTTTATTAGATAATTCTATTACTACCGGCCGTCGTGGACCTTGTTTCCCGATCCTGTAGATATCTTCAATACGGCCTGTGAGATTGATGCCAGCATAATTTTTGAAAATGTTTATTATTCTGCTGTGTAAATCACTTTCAGTTTCATTGGCATTTACTGATAAGCCGCGTAGTACAATTTTTTTATTGTTTTCAAGATTATTTTTGGTCTTGTTGGCATTATTGATTACGGTTTTTTGATTTTGTTCTAATCCTTTCAGCTCTTGTATTTCGTCATTCATTCTAACACATTCATTTTCTATACTCAACATATGTTTCTTCAAATGTTCTATTTCTATTCCTGTATTGTCGTGGTCTAAACTAAGCTCGGTTAACTTTTTAGAATTTTGCTTTAATTCATTCTTTAATTCATGTGAGCTGTTCGACATTTTTGACTCAATCATTTGTTTATTAATTGCTTCCGAGAGTTCTTTGACTTGTAACTTAATGACCTGTTTAACTTCTGACCTGATAAGTTCTTTAATTTCAGACGTTAGAAGTTCTTTATTTTCTGTTTCGATGTGTTCTTTAATTTCCGACTTGATGAGATCTTTAATTTCTGGCACAATAAAGTCTTTAATTTCTTTTAACATTGCCTTTCTGTTATTTTCAAGTTTTTGATCCAGAAGTAGTTCGAGCCTTTCAACAAACATTTTATTTCCTGTTTCTTTGGGAGGTAGATTCACTTTAGAGACGGCGTTAGTGTTATCGTCCTTTTTCCCACTTTTATTAATTTTGCATAGCGCATTGTTTTCGTTTTTGCTTTCTTTGGTTGTTATTTTGGGAATTGAAGGACAGATTGAAGTTGGTTGAGTGCGGATTCGACTGTATGAATTTGATCCTGATTTGAGTTTCATACGAGAGCATAATTGACAATTCCATGAGGATAGTTGCTCGTTTGACATTTTGCACAAATACATATAGGTGGATAAATTTGCACATTTAAGGTGAAAGTTTTTACGACAAACCGTGCATAAGATATAATAACTCCCAACAAGGATATCTTGTAGACAAGTCACGCATGTCATGTCTTCATTCATCTCTTGCATGGTGGTAGATCTGCAGCCTAAAATCAATAATAGGCTGTAAATAAGCGTATAGCGATGTTTTAGTTCTACCTGATTACTCTAGATGGCGTTCCGTGCTGCTTTAAAGCTTGATGGAGCCACCACTTAGTTTAAAAAATAGAAAAATTATCTCGATGAATTCTGGATTTTTCAAGTTTGTAAATGTATATTTACCCTCTATTTATGCACTTAGAATATTATAGGTAACTGTTACTTAAATATCTTGCAACTATTATTGAGTTTGCGCACAGGCACTTTATGTGTTATCACTATTTCTGGTTAATTGTCACTATATTCTTGTTTTTATACACTTTCACTTTGTACGTCGATGATATTTGGTTTATTTGAAATATAATCACATTGCCTACACTATTGGGAGCACAATGAGAATCTCTATAAAATTAAAGGCTTCAGTGAATGAATAGGTACCCCACAGTGAATGAATAAATTAGATTTGTAAAACAAAGGAAGGTACGTTTTTTAGGAATAATTCAATTGTACCTACATATTTTTAGATTTACATTACTTGCCGGACGAGTCGTGGAATCAAACCCACGACACCGTGCTCGGTACTGTAGTCGTACTTACGACTAATCTAAAAACGAAGCAGTCGTAATAATACTTGAATTTAAGTAAAACAAAATATAACATCATAACATCACGCCATTAATCCCCGAAGGGGTAGGCAGAGGTGCACATTATAACCACTGTACAATGTAACATCCACTTTTCACTATTTATGTTATGACTTACGAGTCCCATGTAATAGGGGGTGAGTCTATTGTCATATATCGGGCTTAATTCCAAACTCCATGCTACTACTTAGATTTTTTTTTAAATCCAGTAATAATTTGATCGACCCGGGATTCGAACCCGAGACCCCTTGCCCGACAGTCGCACTTGCGACCACTCGGACAATGAGGCAGTCATGATAATGATTTATCGACGATGAGACAAAATAATAATGATTTATCGCAAAACATTTAAAAAAGAAACTACTTAAAACTATACTACGCCTGCGACATTAAGTCCACCTTATGTACATTTTGTGCATGAAGCTTAAATAAATAAATAAAACTAATTTCCTTTTCTTTCTTTTTTTTCCTTTTTGGCAACCGATCCTTTTCGTTCATTTTATTATCTTATTTCATTCACTCTTCTTTTTGATTTTGACAGTAATGACAGTTTGACTTTGACATTTACATTACGTTTACGAGGTGGGTGTGTGTGCGAGTTGCAACAAACAAAAGACAGCAGTTAATATTGTTGGCTTGGGTTTTTATTGATTTTCAATTGTTTTCTAAATTAGTGTATAAAGTTTATGAATAAAAGCCTCCATTACGATGCTGTCCTTTCAAGACAAAGTATTCTTCTACCTTTGCATATCGTTCGCCACATTTAAAACAGGTACAAATTTTAGGGCGTTGTTTGTTATTATTTTCAATTATGTTTGTTATTTTGGTTTTTATATTATTCTTTTTTTTGTTTTTAGTTTATTCAATAAACTGCTACCAGTGTTCTGGGACGGATTCGAATAATCCTTTTCAATGTAATGAGTTTTTAGAGACTGATGTCGATTTACAACCTACCGATTGTGCGACGATACATAACGCTCAGTATTGTATCAAGCACGTCGGCCGGTTCGAAGGTGAGAGTTTAAAGGAAATACGCTCTAACCTTACTGATAAATTTAATATTAATACAGCAATAACTTAACTAATGGGATTTAGAACAAAACACTTATTGGAATGATTTGTGATGGGATACAAAAGTTACAGTAGTAACATTGCCTTCTAATCAGCTACACAACGGTGTTGGTTTATTACTAACTCTTAACTCTGAATCATTGCAGAAATGACGTAGTTACAAAAGTTCGATAAAAACTTCTGAAGATAAGTTAATTTATTTTAGTTTCTTTATTTTTATTTTTACATTTAAATTTTTTTGTTATATTATTTCAATAAAGAATACAAGAAGTAAATGGAATGCTCTAAGTTTTATTTTCACAAAAGTAAGGATTTAAAATAATGTTTCTTTTATATGCAATAATAGTTGTAATGAACCGCTCAAGGTTTATCTTGCAAAATAACATGTAAACAAAAACTATAAAAATGCTGACAAAACAATTTAGTTTGTAAAAACAAAAACTTTTCAGGAACAATTCATTTACACCCTGTATATTTAAATGTAATAGCCATTGTATTATAAACCTAGGTCTAGCCATAGAGTGTTACCAATGCAACTCTTCATCATCTATGGAATGTGGTGACGGACTGATGAACTTAGATGGGGGTATACTGAAGCCTACACCTTGTGACCATGTGTATAATGCTCTATATTGCATTAAACTAACAGGTTCTTACTAACTTTAAACTTGGGCTTCTGGTTTTGTATTAAATTTTTGGTTGTGGAAGAGGCCTGGCTTGTTGATGCTGATTGTAGTTTATTGTTTGGTTCATTGGAATGTAAATTAAAGGATTGCTGTGCTTCCACCACCAATAAATTATTATTGTTAACTCTCTACACAACTAATACTACTAAGTACACCAGGGTGTTTACTCTTGCAACCAATCTCAATGTCAATACAATAAAGTCTTAATAATTATTCAATGTCAAAACTATACAACCCCTAACGTAGCTGTTTAAATAGCATTCAGAGTACGGAATATAAAGTCTAACTCAATACCATTTAGTTCATTCAATATCCACACAATACAATGGGTGCTACTGTTGCAACTCAAGAGTACGAAATTTCGCAATACCAATGTCGATCGATCGGAATTGGATTCAAGAGTAAGCACCCTGTACCCTGATTATTCCAATGCAATCTTTTCTTTGTCATCAAACATTTGAATATTCAGGTTTATTGATGCACTTAATGGCTTTGAGATTTACAGCACTGGGCACAGCATATGGTTCACTAATACAATAATTTTATTTTCGGTGAGTATTGCACATTTCACACACATTTAGCTAATTATACACTTAATCATTTGTTTAAACTGCTGTAAAATAAGCTTGTAAAATGTTCAACATATTTATTGATCAGTTTTTACCAGATATGTTGGTAACCCATTCAATAAAAGGCAAGGCAATCGTATATAAAAAGAACATAAGATCACACCTTTTTTATAGTAACAATGTAACATTTTCACAGTTATATTTTGATTGCTCAATCCCCACGCGGTCACCGGTGACCACTCTTTACTAACTCCATTATAGACCTTATGTCCGATGTTTAAAGACTACTTTTATATAAACAAATTTTGGGTGCGATATAAGAGTCCCATATAAAGTACTTTACAGAATACATAGACTGCCTCGTTGGCCGAGTGATCGCAATTGCGACTGCCGGGCAAGGGGTCTCGGGTTCGATTCCCGGGTCGGGCAAAGTATTACTGGGTTTTTAAAAATTCTCAGTAGTAGCACGGAGTCTGGAACTGTGCCCGGTATATGGCAATAGGCTCACCCCCTATTACATGGGACTCATAACATAAATAGTGAAAAGTGGGTGTTACATTGTACAGTGGTATAATGTGCACCTCTGCCTACCCCTTCGAGGATAAAAGGCGTGATGTTATGTTATGTTATAGAAATATCATATTTAGCTTGAGAATAGTTCTAAACTCAACGGCTAAATAAGAGTTATTAGGATCCATTTAAAAAGTTTTTCCTATTCTTTCAGGTGGTATCAGCACAAAGAGGTTTTGCTCATCATTAGATTTAGGTAATTACTGCAACTATGTACAACAGCCGGGTGACAAACTGGAGTACAGAACTTGCATATTTACCTGTGGCAGTGACGGATGCAATGCTGCGACAAACTTAAGTTTCTCTGCCCTTCCGTTAATATTACTCTTTGCAGCCACTTATTTTACGTACAAATTCTAATTGTATACAAAACCACGTACATAGACTTTTAAATGTCTAATAACATTTTTTATATAGACCAGTGTTCTTGTAGCATCTAACTTCAATGCCTGAAAATAATGATTGTACATAGTTGTGTAAACTTGATAGTTTCTGAGCTATTATTTTTATTTAATGTTATTTTTTCTGTGCAATGTACCTAATATAAGTACTGAATATTTGTCCGTCCAGTAAATTACATTCCAATTTATAATTAAGAACAAAATGTTTGTACAAATGATTTTTATTCAGAAGATATTTCTACCTCTTTATTGATTGAATCTCTTTTAGTTTCCGTTATTGACTGACTAGCAAATAAAATTACTTTGTAATGCATACATATTTTATACACGTACGTATTTTTGTACAATAAAGGTTGAATGAAACTATTGTTTTTTTATTTCAAAAAATGTGTTTTATTTAACCTACTTCTCTAAATAAAATGGACTGCCCCGTTGGCCGAGCGGTCGCAAGTGCGACTACCGAGCCAGGGGTCTCGGTTTCGATTCCCGGGTCGGGAAATGTATTACTGGGTTTTGGAAAATTCTCAGTAGTAGCACGGAGTCTAGAAATGTGCCCGGGTATGGCAATGTGCTCACCCCCTATTACATGGGAAATAGTGAAAAGTGGGTGTTACATTGTACAGTGGCATTAAGTGCCGTAATGTGAACCTCTGCCTACCCTTTCGGGGATAAAGGGCATGATGTTATGTTATTCTAAATCAAAGATAAGGAGGTTCTCAGTTTGACTTCCGCGCGTGCCTCAAAGAGCCATCAGACCACCACGGATGGGGGCCCAATAGGGCTGATGCCGATACGGAGTCGCAAAGAACTTAACGAGTTACCGGAGCTCCGGCTCGACGTGCAGGAGTAGGAATGGGGTGGTTTTTAGTCAGTAAGAGTGCTCTTACTGACTAAAAACCACCCCGCGGAAGGGAGTGTCAGAACACTCCCTTCCGCCTCACCCAGGCGGGAGAAGTCATTCGATGATTTTTCCACCCTTAAAAAAAATTTAGGTGGATCAATAGACACACTTGCAAATCTCTGCGAAATGACATCCACATTAACTTAATACGAATAGTATTAAAGACGCGACAACAACACTGCAAAATTTCGCAAGGGAGAAGTTTGAGCCTTTGGAGTAGCTAAGATGGAGGCAGAGCGACTCTATGCCGTGTAGGTACATAGCGGACAATTAAATTCGTTTTAACTCGTCGAGTACCGGTTTTATAGACACAATTAAAGAACAATAGGTCGCGGTCACCGGTGACCGCTTGGTGTTTGACAGTTTAAAAGAGCTTAAGATCAACATGGTGATGATGGAATCACATCAAAATTTCTGGAATCAGATAAAATGCGACTGAAAGTCCTTCACTCTCTTTAAGTTTGTCTTACTTGAAGGAGTAACGTCGTAGCAAGGAACGGAATACTAAAGTTAAAGTGTGTGCGATTCGAGTAAGTTGACAACACCCTACTGAAGAATTAGACTTAACTCGTCGAGTACCGGTTTTATAGACATAATTAAAGAACAATAGGTCGCGGTCACCGGTGACCGCTTGGTGTTTGACAGATTAAATCACTTCTGAGCCACGTCTACAAGCTTTTCGTCTCACCCGTAGTAAGTAACATAATAATACGATACCTTATCTTACCCTGTCTTATTTGATACCTCTTATTTTGACTGCAGCTCAGCCAGGCTAAGGCTAGCTTTTAGGGATGTAATGTTTTTAAGTTGTCGTCGCCGGGTTATGTCGTCGTGGTCGAACGTGATGGGCGTTTAATAATAAAAAACATATAATACTATCCAAACATTTATTGAAAATTTGTGCTACATAAGCATGATATAAAAATACATAATAAATATTAACACCGACTTAGCCAAGTAAATAATCCAGCTAATGCACAATAATACTTTCATTTTTACTTACAACACTAATATTATGCGTTTTATACTGAAAAATGGAATGTTATCATTCAGATTTACTTAATTATTACAAAATTTAATCTTTTATATAGGCGTTCCATGGCATTTTATTGCAATTGGTACACAAATAATGCATACAATTATTAAAGCCACTAAGTACCTTTAAAAATACATTTTCAAAGCTAATTAATATTTTCACTCATTAACAACGCAAATCAAAACGGCTTGAAAGTCTTGAGAAATCCAGCACCTATGTATAATGTGAAACTATTACGATGCTAGCTCGGAACTCTAATCTAACTAAAATTATGTACAGAAAAAGTTCAGGTTCACTTTTTTGTACAATTTCATTTGCAATGTAGGAATACCATTCATGAATATAAACTAGCGTTCAATAAGTAATGAAAGTAAATGCTTGATCGTCGTAAATTAATGTAAAACAATGCTGTCAAAATACATAGGAAATACAAAACACAAGTATAAAATAACAGGTAACGCTATTACATAAATCAGACTATTAACACAATCATTAACAAACAAGATGTCAACAGTCGCGAATCCACTAGGCAACGTTGAATCAGCGCGAAATTATTGTTTAGCAATGTTGTCTGTCATGATTTCGCTTCGCAACAGTCGTCGGCAACATGTTGCCAAAGAATATACTTGCGACGTAGGTACTTATTCGTTGCCTAGTGGATCTGTGACTTTATCTATAAAAAAATGGGAATAACATGAAGTGCTTAGTAAAAAGTGCCTTTCACGAGATGTCGAGATCATCAGCCTAACATTAATTTGTAACAAGATTTTAACATACAGACATTCGATCTTCTTCATATCTTAAATGTCAACAATTAGGCAAGTTGAACAATTACTATATTATTCCACGTCAATCAAAATATATTGAAATCATAACCTTGATTCGGAATCCATATACACAATGGTATAGAAAATAGTTAAATAACATACACAAAGTAATAATAAACAATAGTTTGTGACATGAACATTTAGTAGAATGTCATGGTTTTATCACATTTCTTTTTTTTTCAATAAAGCAATTAACTTGATTGTTAAAAAATCTATAGGCCTTAAAATTAGAAGCCTACATTAATTTCAAATAAACGACAATCACAATAAGCTTAGCTGCCAATTAAGCCGAAATATAGTTTTGGAATGATTCATTTTGATCCCATTATAATAATAAACTGCCCTGCAGATGTCATGATCTCATAATTTGAGCGAACAAAATAATAAAGATAACTCAAAATGTAAAAACAAAACTGCAAAAGTTGCATAGGAATAAAATTAATATAAAAATTGGTGTAGTGAACCCAACATTATTAGTCAATTAGTCTGCTATTCAGTATCGCGTTTTATAAATAACTACTGATTGATGAATGAAAGAATAAGGTCACTACAGACTTAAATAGTATTCAATACCGTCTACTATGAAGTAAATCTTCCTTTCCACGCTTAAATATTTGATCCTTACATCACTTGCGCATCAACGCGTTCCTTAAACATAGTCTATCTTATTAGTACTTTAACTTGTGACAACATTAAGACGTGGTTAAGACTAGGGAATGACAACTTAACTTTAAATAATATAGAATACAAGGCTAAGAACAGATCAAGTGCTTAAAGCTTGATCGACGTTTTTACAAGCATTTGTAACGAACATTTCCAAGTGTCTCGCGCTACGTGAGCTTTAATTACCACTGGTCGCTGTTGTGTAGAAGTAGCTTATATTTAGTGTGGCACAAAATATAATAGAAGGCTTAAATACTTGATTGTATCAATTATCAAGTGAAGATGCGACCAGTGGTCTTAGACCTTCGGTAGTGCGCGAGGTCTTGTTTTCATTGCTCGTCAATTTCTGACGCAGAGCTGAAGCGTGTTCGCTCGATAAGACAAGGACATGTAGAGGCGAGGTGGGCTTACGATCCGTCGCGCTGCAGCCTCGCCTGTAGAGCGGCCACCAACTGCTCGAGCTCACGCACTCGCTGCTGACTGTTCTGTAGCTGCCTCTTTACGATCCTCAACTCTTCGCCTTGACGGTTAAATGCGAGGCGTAACTGGAAATAAAATAATTAAGTTTATTAAGTATACATGTGTACATGTATGTGTGTGTACAGTAAGTGTACAAATTAGACACATATTAGTAGGTAATTTATTTTATTTGGGGGAATATAGAGGTTAACATCAACTGTATTATCCATGTTCTAATAAGAAGTTTGCATCGCCTAGGAATGTACCCAGTGCCCTGGCCATATCATGGAGCTACTATAAAGGCAATTATTACAATACATTAGTCATCTCATGTGGTGAGAGATAGTCTGATTTGCTATTTACAGTTCTCAATTATGTCTATTAATAATCAGAATACATACCTCATGTTCAGTACTGAACACGTCTCCCTGATTGATCTGCTTGTACAGCGGGACGGGCTCAGCGTCTCCAGTCTGCTTGCCAAACATACGTTGCAGTTGATGGAACTTCGTGTTCTGGTTGGCGCTCGTCTTCTGAGATTTTTCATTCACTTGCACCTAGGTAATAAATAATTGGTGAATTAACGTAAATCACGAGATGCCTCGAACAGTGTAGTAAGTTTTCTTATACAATTATTTTCTTTTATCATATTTTTATACAAAAAATTAGCGTTTCGGAAACCTCCGATTGACTGGTAACAGTTTATTGTCGGTATTAGTAGTCAGATTTAATTTTGGCGTAAAGCCTGACTTTTTACCTTTAACACTTAACAAAATTGTGTAAGTTATTTTATGCTCATAGATCCTATATTATAATTAAATCTGTTTACAGTGTACTTACATCTAGGTGTTCAGTATCATTGTTATGGTCGTTAGGTTGCCAGGTGCCTAGTGGGCGGTAGTCGGGCGTAGTCTCTCGAGAGAGGAAGGCAAACTTCTTCCTGTTGTTGGCGTCCTGAGGCTGCATGGCCGGCGCGTCCTTGTTGTTAGTGCGAGGCTTGTGGGTCGAGATTGTCACTCCTGGAATATAGTCGTTATATCATAAATACCTATTTACAACTACTTACAACCTTGTTATTGTTATATTCACTAATTAACACACTCCATCGCACACCCTGCTATCTGCATCGTACATAACACAATGTAATTCACTTAACACTACAAATTTATAATTTTCAATTTGAAATTATAAATCCAGGTTTCCTCATGTTGTTCCTTCACCATAATGTCAGTGACGTTTAAATAAACATAAAAAGTACAAAACTCGGCTAAAGCCAGGTGGGTATTTGCCAGGTTTAGAAATAACTCCTCATTCTCGAGGAACGGATGCCTATACCTCTAGCCCACTAAGACACTACACCACACAGAGTAAACACTCCACCATGTACTCAACACTATCCATTACAATATTACCTAGATATTAGGATTTGATGCCACATACCTGTCTTCATACTGATGAGCAAAGGCGGCGAGTTCATACCGCTGAGCCAGTCTTTGGCTGACAGCGCGGGCAGTGGCGCCGCAGTATCAGGGTACAAGTCCTCCTGCAACGCGTGAATACAACATTAGTACAATATAAATACGAATTAACTCGTCGAGTACCGGTTTTATAGACACAATTAAAGAACAATAGGTCGCGGTCACCGGTGACCGCTTGGTGTTTGACAGTTTAATCTGCATGAACATAACTTCAATTATAATAAATATAGAAGCGTTTTGGTAAACTCCAGTTACTTTTTGAGATACTGTAATAAACAAACTTGCCGGAGTAAGTTTTAATGATTGGGGATTTGGGATAAAGGGAGGAGAATTTGGCCTACAGTAACCTCATTCACATATCGAAACACAAGTCTTGTTTCACGTCAGTTTTGTGAGGCTGTGGTGTTATGTAGTATGAAGTATGGCTCTCCCACGCTATGTTATGATTCAAATTAGCATTAAATATAATACTTACATATTAAAGCATGAAAATATTTACCTGGAAACAGTCGGACTTCCGCGGCACAATCATGGAGATAGGCTCGCAGAGGCCGCGTGAAGTATGCAGCTTGTAGAAACGAAATACTTCGCACGCCGCTGTATTCACGCCACGCTTCGGCATGAAGCCTAGTCCACGCTGAAAATCAGTACATTTATATTAAACCTGTGAAGTGCCGAAACGCAGATAAATGCGAGTCGCGGTGTGTTTTTTATTGTGTCTCATATATCGACAATAGGATAATAAGTCATACGTTGAAACTATGACATTGTTTCTGTATGAAACGATGAAGAATAAATGAAAACTGCATTGTTTAAAACAATTTTGTTTCGTGTTGTAAAACGATAGAAATATCTACTACACTAGACTTACAAAAGGTAAAGAATGTTCACTCTGCAATGGTCTGTTGGTCTGTTAAATATTTTTTATTCTTATTCTAATTTATTCTTTGACCCAATGAAGAACGAGGTTAACTATATTAATATTAATTAATGAGGTAGTAATTTAATTTATTTCTCAAATAGTGGTTACAGTATAAGTTTACGACTTAAGACTTCAGTTATCTTATAATTAAGAGAAGGAGCATGCAGGACCGAACTAGGCGTGAGCCTGTATCTCAATATGCAACGCCAATCTTATACTTATTATATAAAGCGGAAGAGTTTGTTTTTTTGTTTGAACGCGCTAATCTCCGTAACTACAAGTCTGATTTGAATATTTCTTTTTGTGTTGGATAGCGCATTTATCGATGATGGCTATAGGCTATAAAACATCACACTACGACCAATAGGAGCTGAGCAAAGCGTGTGAAACCGCGCGGAAGTATCTAGTTACTAATAATCCTGGGTAAACATTATTGTTTTATCTAATCCTACTTATACTTATTACCGTTTGTATGTTTGAACGAGCTTATCTTCGGAACAACTGGTCTGAATTAAATAATTGTTTTTGTATAGTATAGTCCATTTATCAAGGAAGATAATAGACTAAAACATCACGCTACGGTCAATAGGAGGCAAGCAGAGCGGGTAAAAACGCGGGTAAAAAGTTGTTGCATAATATATTACTATTGTCTTTTTTATATGCACATTACTAATATTATACATTTATAACTATAAAACTTTAAAAACTACTTACAAGAAATATCACAAACAAAGTCGCTATCCGCCGTCTGTCTGTCCCTTTGTATGCTTAGGTCTTTAGAACTACGCAACGGACTTTATGCGTTTTTTTAATAATATGCATACATGCTTATTGCACCCGTGCGAAGCCGGGGCGTGTCGCTAGTAAAATATATCTACTTTTTTACACTATTGACTTGTTGTATGCAGTTTACGTCAGTTATATTGGATAATACAAATTTTCCTTAATAAACAGTTATGATATAAGTAATTTCTAGAAACAAAACTGATATGTACAGATTACATTGTAATTGGATTCATATCAAGCCCAGCAAACCGGAGCAGTGTTACACTGGATTTTTTGATAACCATTTTACTAAAATGCAATTAGTGTTTAGGCGAACTAATTTGCACTCTAAGTGCTTGTAGTAAGTATTAATATAGATTAACCGTTCATCTGTCCTTGCCAAGTTTAATATAAAAAACCGAGTCACATATTAACTTTGTATGCAGATTATGATGTAATTGTTTCATTAGGTACGCTACAATATTACTTGTTGTATAAATCTTATATTGTATATTAAGTTCGTATAGTTATTTTTTATACAATACAAACGAGCAGACGAACCAGCTGATAGTAATCGACCAATGCCATCCATTATACACCCGCAACAACAGAAGAGCCACAGATGTTCTTTTTGGTGAAACTTCAATAACATAACATAACATCATGCCTTTTATCCAGAGGTCCACATTACTGCACTTAGTCACTACAATGTAACACCCACTTTTCACTATTTATGTTATGAGTCCAATGGAATACCTATTGCCATATACTGGACACAATTCCAGACTCCGTGCCACCACTGAGATTTTTTTTTAAAACCTAGTCGTATTTTGCCTGACCCGGGAAACGAACCCGAGACCCCTTGCCCGGCAGACGCACTTGTGACCACTCGGTCAACGAGGCAGTCAATATACTAGTAATAAAGTAGATTTTTGTATGGTTTACTTACTTGTGGGTTTCCGGAGAGGAATTGGTTGAGGAAATGCACGTAGGGAGCTTCATCGACAACTTCATAGTATCTTATGTTCCCGTCGCCTTTACCAGCCAGGTACACCTAAACAGAAAAAAAATATGAGTGAAATAAAAAAATCTGTTTTTGTTACAGTTATTCATGACCCTGGGACGTGCCGGACTTCAGTGTTCCGGGTTTTTATGGTTTTATCTACTATAGATCCTGGCTTACAGGAGTTGCAGCGGTTTTGAGGGGTTGTGACTAATCCCCCGAACTACCGGTTCGACAAATTGTATTATTTTTTTATTTCATGGTTGTAATAATGTAGTCCACTTATAGAGGACGGCTAAAGACTATAAAACATCTAGTATTATAAGTAATCAGTTATCTGAGTAAACATTTGTTTGTAGTTAATCTTCCAGTTTAACATACACTTGTAATTGGGATGATGACAAGGTATGAAAATTAAAAATATTATATTTATTTTTTTATTTTGTTGAATAATAAAACAATACTTAGATAAAACGAATCAAAGTTTAGGAGTGGGGCTAAAACGTCATTTCTACGTATAAAATGTACATAGAAGTGACGTCACGTGACATTTCAAATCGCTTATTATAATACATTAATGTTAATAACTTGCGACACACAACGATAAAAAAAAAACTTCATCTTTTTTTCTATACCTACTCTTCAAACTGAGAACTTCTTTCTATTTTTAAGTACTTAGGTTAAAAAATACTCACTATATTAGTATCATAATCATAGTAGGGGAACACGACGCCTGAAGAGCTGTCAATGGTCTCGCAAACGAGAGGTTTGTCCAGGTCATGTTGGTCCCATACGGCGTACTGACGGTCACTGTAGCGGGAGAATCCCGTCGTCAGTACCTTGCCCTGACTGCCAAGGAACGTGCATTTCGAGGCTTTAGTGCCTAAATGGCAGGGGCCTTCCTGTAAAGTAGAGAAAGATGGTTAGATGAAGATGAGACTGCTATAAGTTCAATATGAGAGTAAGGGTAGCGGTACCGAGCTTGCCGAGAACTACAAAGGGTCTCCAGTTTGAAGCAGGAGGTAAAACGAAGTGGTTTTAATCAGTAAGAGTATGATATAGTATCCTCTATTGCCTCACACAGGCGGAAGGAGACACGAACACACACACCACACACACCAGGGTGGGGACCCCCTTCAAAAAAGTGTTGGCACAATTTATTGCCACTAAAATAGTACAATTTCATGTTTTATATTGTTAGTATAGTCCGGTCAATTTAGACCTTCGAAGTTACATAAAGTCCCAACAAGCTGAATTTCTGTAAAGTTGTTCAAAACATAATTACAAACAATGTCTAGAAGTTCCCCATCATTCCCCTGTAAGGAAAAAAATTAATTCAGAGAGATTTAATTGAGAGCTTCGCTCGAATGAAAGTAAATGTGTATTTTTAGTAACACATTTTTTTTTCAGAATTAATCTTCGTAGAACCCAGCAGGATGATCATAGAATTTTTGAATGTGGAACTAATCTGTCAAAAAAAGTCTAAAGTAATTAGGTACAGATACTGACCGACAAAACAATGCCTCTCCTAGGCTCGATGACGCGCAGTTTCTTGTCCTTGCTGGTGGTAGCGAGCAATGAACCGTCGCGGTTGAACGACATGCAGTAGATCACGTCCGTGTGGCAATCTATCACCTTCACCGCCTCGCCTTTGCCGACGTCCCATACAAAGATCTGCAAAGGAAAATTAGCCATGGTAATCAAGTAGCTATTACATTTTTCAAATGAGACATAAGTAGGTATTAGTATTACTTTTTGAGGAGATTATCTGATATGCAGGAATACAGGGTTATGTTTTTATAGTAGGTAACTATCGTGTGAGACGTTGAATTAACTAAAAATTACAAGTTACTTAAGTAAATATACTGAGAATATCTCTACTAGTTTCGAGTCACAAAGGGACTCTTCCTTATGAGCAACGTGGCGATGTGCGCAGCTTACTAGTAGAGCTTTTCTCAGAATATTTAAATGTGTAACTCGTAATTTTTAGTTAATGCAGGGTTATTCTTAAATTCATCCCCACAAGCTCGCAGGAACTATCATCATAACTTTTGTTCTAAAACTTCTAATGAATTTTGGAAACCGTAGAACGTCTTGTTTTTGATGTCCTACTTCGCAGATTGTAGAGATATTTCTTTAATGTATTATAGAGCACATAATATAAAGTAATTAACAGACGAATGCAAACATTGACAATGTATCGTACCTTGAGTACCGTCATACCGTGCCGTGTGGTGATAACATAGGTACAAGATCAAGGTTAAGATAACAGTCAATATAAACTTTGTCTACCGCGACTGCACGCGGCACATTGAGTCTGTTAAAGAATGTGTGCACTGCTTAAACTTTGTTAATACTATGCCCTGTATTGTTAACTAAACTTAACTAATTAAATCGTATTATTAAAATGCCTATAAATATAGTATCTTACGAACAAACAAGGTGATACTACATTCAGAAGTGGATTAAACCGAAAGAGCGACTTAGGCAAGCATCTCAGGTGGCCCTAATTTTTTTGCCTTTGGCTACAGCTGCTGTGCCTTTAGCCAAACGCCACTTTAGCGCTTGTCTACAGAGAGAGTAGAAAACTAAATGTATGTAGATGACACTGACAAGTGTCAAAATTTATGTCAATTTCATATAATTTAGTTTTCTTTTCTACCATGTAGACAAGCGCTAAGCGTTTGCCTTTTTTTTTTTTTTAAGGGGGGAAAATCATCGAATGACTGCTCCCGCCTGGGTGAGGCGGAAGGGAGTGTCAGACTCTTACTGACTAAAAACCACCCCGTTCCTTCTCCTGCACGTCGAGCCGGAGCCCCGGTTACCCGTTAGGTTCTCCGCGACAAGCGTTTGCCTTAGGGGTAATACGGTTCTCACTAAACTTGCATTCTAAGATTTTGAGGTAAGTTTAAAAGGTATGTATGTAACGTAATCGTGGAGTATAGGTATTCTAATATAGAAATACTCTCAAGATCCTTAAATACGTGTCTTTATCGATAGCCCGAACTCATTTAAATGTCAAATTACAGTGCAGAATTTCTTCAAAAGCACATCACTGTTATACCTATTATTTATCAAATTTGAAGCATCCCATAACTTTAGTCGTATAAATAACTGTTCTGCTGTACCCCTAACATTGCTTCGTTTCATTGCAAGGATCACGCAAAACCGAATAGTCGTGTAACGGCTTGCACATTCAGATTTGCGTGACAAACGGAAATAATATCACCCTGTATATATATGTATATCGGTAATCTCGAGTACGAAAGTGTTCATGGATTGTTATAAAAAAATTAAGGTACATTTTTGATGACATTAGATTTTGATGTATGTTCTAAGTGATTTTATTCGTGTGGTTTATTTCAGGAAGTTACACAGCCAAAACATTATGTGCTTTTGTTCCTAAAACGCATAAGTAGCGAGAGAGAGAGAGAGAGAGAGAGAGAGAGAGAGAGAGAGAGAGAGAGAGAGAAAGAGAAAGAGAGTTCACTAGTTGTAAATAGCAACAAGAAAATTGAGGCGGAGAATACTCATGATGTAGAAACTTCACAGAAACTCTCACTCGGTATCGGTATTAGTGGTGAGGCGAAACATCAAGTAATAGTTATTGCTGATGATCAGGGACGCCACACTCAGAAATTATTACAACGCTTGATTGGAGAACAATTCCAAGTTAGTTGCTTTTGGAAATCTGGAGCGACATTACAAGACGTGCTACTGTGTGAGCGAAATAAAATAAATTCTCTAACTAGAAATGATTATGTGGTTATATTAGGTGGTACGAACGACAAGTCTCCATATATTTTTAAGACATCTGTTAGTAATTTTTTATATTGTTCTAGGAACACTAACATTCTGTTTTGTGAAATACCGTACAATAATCATCTTAGGGAATCGAAATTGAATTACGAGCTAAAATTCTTGTGTTCGAAATTTTTGAATGTTAGATATATTGATATGGGTTTTTCTGTAAGAGTACCTACTCGAAAAATGTTGGTTCAACATACTTGTCGATTATTGTTGAAAGAAATATTACAGTTAGATTATAAATTTAAATTTGATGATTTCCAAAATAATAAGAAAAAGATAAATGAAACTAAATCAGTGGATAAGGGTATTCAGACTGACGGATTATATGAAACGGATGTACTAATTGATGCAAAATCAACTAGAACTGCTCAAAATATACCAAATAGTTTTTTTCGTGTATAAATGTATAAATATTCTTCATCAAAACATTAATGGGGCTATGAATAAATCTGAACTTTTGTATGTAAATTTGGAACAGTTAATAGAACAGGGCAGTCCAGCTGACGTAGTATGCCTGACCGAGCATAACATGTTAGGAGAGGATATTAAATTGTTATATGTACCAAATTACTCTCATGCAACATCTTTCAATCGAAGTAAGCGCCACGGCGGTTCTTGTATATTGGTTTACAATAAACACCAGTATAAGTCTATTAAGGCAGTGAAAAAACATGCAATTGATGGTGTGATTGAATGCTGTGCCATTGAGCTCGTAATTCATGGCCTTATTATAATTTGTGTTTATAGGCCACCTAGAAATAGTGTACAACAATTTGAACAATTTTTCACTCAACTTGATTCTGTACTAAAACAGTTATGTTTCTCTAAAAAGAAAGTAGTTATATGTGGGGATTTTAATATAAATACAATGAAAAAATCTAAAGAGTCAAACCAATTATTGAATATTGCGTGTTGCTATAACCTCAAAGTGGCGATTAATGAGCCAACCCGTTTAAGTAGTGGCACTTGTATCGACAATTTTATGTACGATGTTAGAGGATGCAAGTGTAATATCTATGAATTTGCTCTCTCCGATCATTCAGCTCAAATTTTATCCTGTCCAGTTAAAGAAACATGTTCTCTTACTCATTGGTACATTAAGAAAAGAGATTATAGCAAGGAAAATATAATTAAATTCAAAAGATGCTTGGAATCCCTTAGTTTTAACGATGTATATAGTACGGATGATCCTAATGCTGCCTTCGACAGTTTTCATGACATATTTACATTATTTATTACCTGTGTTTTCCATTTACATTAATTAAAAAAACCAGTCGTATGAAACCATCATGGTTATCAAACGGTATACGGGCATGCTCAAAACGGAAAAGAGATTTATTATGGCGGTTTAGAAAACAACCAAATCCACATAATAAAAACCAATTTAAATCATATTCTTCACGTTTATCCAAAATTATTAAACTTACTCAAAAATCGCAAAATGATTTTAAGATCAAAATGGCAACAAATAAATCAAAAGCGACTTGGTCCGTTATTAAACATAATAAGCAAAATATACCGAGAGTACAAATTAAGCAAATACGAGTTGATGGTAATATAATAGATGACCCGTTTCAGATTGCTGAAACGTTTAATAAATTTTTCATAACCGATAACAAATCCAACGCAAATGACAATCCCAAATATAAATTATCGTTATGTAACAACAATTATTATCACTCTTTATTTATAAACCCGACTTCTCCGTTTGACATTGTACAAATAATAAATTCTTTAAATAATACAAACAGCACTGGTTACGATGATGTGAGTACTAAAATATTAAAAATTGTATCTGTAATTATTTCACCCGTTTTGAGTTATATTATCAATTTGTGTATAGTTTCTGGAGTATTTCCAAACAAGTTAAAATTTTCTATAATTAAACCTCTATATAAAAAGAATGATAGAGAACTCATAAATAATTATAGACCTATAGCACTCATACCTATTTTTTCTAAAGTACTTGAAAAAGTTATCGGTAAAAGTCTTTATAATTTTTTCGAATTAAATAATATATTTACTAACAAGCAGGCAGGTTTCAGAAAGAATAAAAGTATAAATTTGGCTGTGTATAACTTTTTGCATTCTATCATGACGGGATTGAATAATAAACATTTAGTTTCCGCATTGTATATGGATTTAACAAAAGCATTTGATTACGTTAATCATAATATTTTGCTACATAAACTAGAAGCGTATGGTGTCAGAGGCAACGTATTGGCATTATTAAAATCTTACCTCAGTGATCGACAGCAATGTACTAAAATCTCTCGCATATGTCCAAAAACGTACATAGAAACTGATTACTCATCAGATTTTAGTGACGTACTTCAAGGGGTTCCACAGGGCAGTGTACTCGGCCCCCTATTATTTATCATTTATATCAATGATCTGCCTAATTTTATTGACCATGATATGGTTTTATTTGCAGACGACAGCACAGTTATGTTCAGTGACAAAAATAAAAATGACTTAGAACTAAATATTAATTATACTCTTGGTACAATAATTCAATGGTTAACCTATAATAATTTGCTAATAAATTTAGATAAAACTAATATTATGACATTCAGGAACAGGAAAAATAATTTGCAACAAATTGACATAAAATTTAATGGATGTAAGATTAACGCAGTGGAGACTGCAAAGTTTTTGGGTCTTCATGTTGATAGCGGTTTGAATTGGAAATTTCAAGTTGAAAGCGTATGTACAAAGTTAAGTCAATTCTCTTATGCACTGTATATGCTTGGCAAAGTAGTGAACCCATCTGCTGTTATTACTGCATACCACGGGTATGTTGAATCACTATTAAGGTACGGGGTCATCTTTTGGGGTAACTCGGTTGACAAAGACATTGCGTTTAAAGCTCAAAAAAAATGTGTCAGAGCAATATGTAAACTTACACCTACAGAGAGTTGTAAACCCGCATTCATTAGGTTAAACTTGTTAACCTTACCATGTATTTATATCTATGAGGTAGCCATATTTGTAAAGCTGCATATTTCAATGTTTGATCATTTAAAGAGCAAACGACATGGTAAGAAGATATGCTTTCCATCAAACAAAACTGCTCAATTTAGTAATAGTATATTTTGCATGGCACCTCGTATTTACAACCATCTCCCGCTTGACATATTGCGATGTTCAAACTTAGGAACATTTAAATTTAAATTAAAACAATTACTTATTAATAAGGCATATTACAATGTAAACAATTATCTTAATGACAAATTCAGTTGAGTTTTGGGTTTGCTTAGTGTTTATGACTCAATGATATTAATTCTTTTATGATAATAATGACTTAATTTTATCGTCTTGGACTACTTGTGACATCTACCTATATTTTCTTATGACTAATTTAAATAATATAATAAATGATAAATTGTAATTGTAATTAATATTTTCTTATGACTAATTTAAACAATGTAATTAATAAATAAATAATAAATTGTAATTGTAATTAATATTTTCTTATGACTAATTCAAATAATGTAAGTAATAAATAATAAATTGTAATTTTCACAAATAAGTATTGCATGCTAATTGGCAGAATGTAGCTGATCAAATTATTTTATAATACCTACTGTAACATCTACACTTGACCTATATTCGCAATAAATGATTTGAATTTGAATTTGAATTTGAATTTGAGAAAGTACAAAATTTTATGTACTCACTTTTCGTCAGATATGTTTTAAATTATAATTATGTAACAGGGAAGGCAAGGCGCGAGAACTTACATTTTGTACCATTTTTCCAGCGACCGATTACAAAATGTAGATAATTTTTGTAGCGATCGGCGCTTGGAACAAAAACAAGCAAACTTCTACTTTATTATTTCAGTTAGTAGTAGGTATGTATAGATAACGTGTGCAAACTGGATTAAACATTAAAGCCAAGTGCAGAGATGAATCATAAAGACAACAACGTATGTGTACGAACATTTGGTCAACGAATTTGTTTACAATACTTGATCGATGTATTGAGGTAGTCTGCACAAAAGTGGAAAGGAAGAGTAATAAAATCAGTTTTAGTTTGAAAGTTATTTAAATATTTAAAACTGATTTTAAATAAATTCCAGTTTCTTGTATAAATTAATGGACTGTTTAAACACGTAACGCTACAACAAAGATTACAATTTGTGTGGACAAATTATGGATTATCTTAATCAAATCCAATTCATGTAGGGTTTGTTAGGAAATTGGGAAATTTCTTCGAGTGAGCTATCGAGATAAAAGGTCGCCGTTCGCTTTCAACAGGTCGATCTTGAAATCAATTAAGGGAGGCCTATGTTTAGCAGAAGATGATGATGAACACAAAGTTAATAAATAAATTATTATGTTTTCGGCTTACTCAAGTAATAATTTGACGAGGAACTCGACAGTAGCAGCGCGACAGTCGCCGCGTCGCGGGTCGCGAAATGCTGCTCATGAATATGAGCCTCTAGCATGGCTTGAAACTAGTCGAGTTCCTCGTCAACGGTCAAATTATTACGTGAGTAAGGCCAAAACATAATAATTTATTTAGTACGTCTCACGAAAGTTACAATACAAACAAAGTTAATAATAATATTTTTTATATACTTACCAAGTAATCGAAGCCAGCACTGAGCAGTATGTTCTCGGCTGTAGGATGCCACTCGATGTAGGCGACGCGTCGCTTGTGGCCGTGTAGTTCTACCAGCCAGTCCGTCAAATGCATAGACAGACCACCGTCCGGTATATGCCATAGTTTTACCTGTGAAAATAGAATACAAAATGAAATATTATATGTAATAAATAATTAGGAGCATACAGAGGAGCACATTACGGCACTTAATGCCACTGTACAATGTAACACCCACTTTTCACTTTTATGCTATGAGCCCCATGTAATAGGGGGTGAGCCTATTGCCATATACCGGGCACAATTCCAGACTCCGTGCTATTACTGAGTTTTTTTTAAACCCAGTTATACTTTGCCCAACTCGGGAATTAAACCCCAGACCCCTTGCCCGGCAGCCGCACTTGATACCACTCGGCCAACGAGGCAGTCATGAAGGCAGGCAAATATTGATCAATTGTGTGTTTTTATAGCCTGGAATACCCTATATGAGTTTGTAGCGAGACATCACATGGAGACTAGTTATTATCTAAAAACGATAATTCGTGGTGTGTAAGTATGAGTTCCTTCTATACACAAGAAATTACTACAGGTACTACAATTCGTATGAATACAAGTAAAACGATTATCTAAAGAACAGTCACACCCATTTTTAATGAATCAATCATCAGATAAAAGTCGAGAAACTCATTAAAGTCAATTGATATGACATTCTTTATAAATAAAATCAATTGCAGTTCATTTCAAACAATAAATTGGCTTGCTAATAAGGACCGCAATTGTTTCAAACAAAACAATCAAAAGCAATAACAAATACAGAACATCGTTAGCATTTTTATCACTTATTTGCTCGACACCAAAACAAACGATAACAATAAACCATAATCGAGAGAACACTGCTTGATAAGATAATTGAATAAATTCTCGTTACCCGTAATGATATAGCCACATCTAATAATATATTGACAACCAGGCTACACGCTTTCGCTCAAACAAAAAGCGAGAAATTGTTCAAACGGAACATCCCCAAGTAATAGGCGTCAATTACCATGAACAAATTGCGGATATAAAAAAGTTAAATAAAAAAAAAATAGCACAAACGAAATTACCGTGCAGTCGTCGGAACACGACGCTATGATGTTATCGTTGAAAGGATTCCATTTTATGTCAAGCACGGGGCCTTTGTGGCCAGTTACACGACTCGCGTTGAAGTCCAACCTGCCAGTCTGAAAAAAAAAAAGATCTCAGTTATGTCATCTTATGTCAAATTCAAATACTATTCGCATTTTGAAATTTAAAAAAAATTCTATTGTCGGCTGTATGCTATAGATATGTTGTTTTGTTTTAATAATAATTATGTAATTTTATTCCACATTTCCACCCACTTGGGCAACTCTGAACCTAAAAATGTATTTTCCTTTGCCATATATTTACTACTAACGCGAATGCTAATACTATGACAAATATGCGCGTCTAATAAGTTAAGGAGCTTTATATGACTTGAAATTGTGACGTAATAACTATTCTGAAACACTGACGTATTTAATAAACTGTTTACGAAAGTAATAAAGGTGTTCCGCTACGTAAAGATATCATTTCACATCAGATAAAGTGACCGCTTTAACAAACAATTAAGTTGCAACGAAACAATTGCGTCAAGCGAACTACGAAGCAAGGATTTGTTGCAATGTTGCAGTTTTGTTGCAAATGCATCAAGATGATACACATTTCACACGGTATTTGCAATCACAACTCGTTTTAATGGGCGAGTACCGCAATTCTGTTGTTCGGCGGATGTTTCAATAACGCGTGTTTGGCTACTATTACTTTTGAACGCTATGATGTGGAGTTTAAGCGGATAATATAGTTCAAACGCTATTTAGAAGTCAAGGTGAGAGAACCGTTTATATGCAGAGGCACAAAACAAATTTATATCGAGGCGGTGCACTTGTAGACAGGACGCCGGGAGTTTAATAATATCATTAGCAACAGTTCCTAACAGACCGACAAGAACAGGTGTATTTTTAATCACATTTCTAGTGACATCTAAAACTTTAACATTAAATTAATAGGTAGTTAAATATCTCACAACTATTTTTAGTCAAGAATACATATCTCAAAGGCAGGTGGATGGACCTGACGTATCACGCAACCATAGATAGAAAAAACAAAAAGGTTTTATCAACTTAATGACGATTCTTTTTGTTTAAGGCTCTGGTCAAGACAACAAATCAAACTGATTAATCTGGGAGTATCCACCTTGTTCAAACACGTATAGTGTTGGGTACACAAGCTAGGGCGGTTCCGCCATAAAACCAATAAAAGGCACAAATATTGGTGTTGGGCGACCGATGACGTCTTCCTAAGTCAGAACGATTCAGTAATAGGTACGACTGAGTTTTAGATTCAGGTAGAAGTATATTCATATAAAGTTACGAATATTTAAAATGTCCGTAGCACTGGTATAAATTGATGTAGAAAAAATCATTTCTGTTTTTACGAGAGTAGATATAGCCTGGGAAGGCTTTTTTTAAGGGGGGAAAATCATCGAATGACTGACACTCCCTGACACTCCCTGACTAAAAACTACCCCGTTCCTTCTCCTTCACATCGAGCCGGAGCCTCGGTAACCCGTTAGGTTCTCCGCGACAGCCTGGGAAGGCTAGTACTATTAGTTTAGCAATTTTGCTCCTTATTAATTTAGTAGTTTTTAGGTTATTTTTGCTATATATCTTACCTTTTTATTACAACTTTGATTATAACTGTAATTTTTGTTAATTGTTACTGTAACAGCAATGAAGACTTTTTTATTTTTATTTTATTAATTATGTAACCTTCGTAAAATATAAAGCTAATTATTGGGAATTTGTGTCGAGCAAGGAACCTTATTTCTCAATCCATTAGACAACGTGACAAAATTAAAAACTTCTTAGAGGTTAGATTAACCTTAAGAAGCTTAATTGATTAAGGAATTAACTAATCCTCTTTGAGTCGGTGTAAGTATCACAATGGTCAGTTAGTATGGCTTCAGCTTGGGTTAATCTTTAACCAGGATTATGGTGTACTCCTGTGTATGTACTATAGGCAAAGTTTACAGTAGGCCTTTTTAAAAAATCCTGTGGTAAATTCGCTGCCCTATTTTCCCCGTGGTAGCTACATTCGAGTTCATGCGAATATCGCCTAATGATGATGGCAACTTTGTCGAATGTACCTGGTTCCTACTGTCTATCCTATGTACGAATGTAGAAGGATGACCAATGACTGTAGTACTATTTAAGTTTTTTAGTTTTATGGTAGTTTTGAACAACCACCCCAAAATGATCTCTTAACTATGAGTTAGAAGGATATAAAATCCCTAAGGTTTTCCGTCAGATTTCACTTATAGGTTGAAATAGATGTCGTAAATTGTCAACTATAACCTATTCCCTGTTAGATGTTTCTTGTAGAACATGTGAAAACGGGCGTTATTAAAAAAAATATCACTGAAATGTCGCATGACGTCATTTCTACGAACAACTGACATTTTTTCTTGCATCCTGTCATGATGTCTACGTTTGTTGTTGTTTTTTTAAACAATGGCATTGGGGATGAGCACATCCAACGGAAGGATCATGGAATATCCGTCAATTTCTTATTATTGTCAGACAAAAAGACAAAACACTATATCAGAAAACAATAGATTTGATAACTTTTCCTATCATAAAGGCTATTGCATTCGTGCTATTGTTCCATAAATAAATACTCAGCTATTAAATAATATATTTTCAATTGTCTAGTTTTCAATGAAAAATGTTTTCTAAGAAAGGTAAAATTTATAGACTGCAGTACATTTGTACTCGTTTTAAAAACGCTAGTCTTCATAGGTCAAGTTATTAAACGTAATATAGCACGCAATAGTATGATTAATTACTAATTTAACGTTAAACTTATTAATAAATGTTTTTTTTTTACTTACGTGATCCAAAGGCAGAACAAGGAAGGCTCCTCCACCAGCCACCTCCGTCACTATGGCAACGAACTTAGGGTTGACAGCACAGAAATTAGAATCGTGCGCATTCCTAGTTATTTTGATGTTGTCATAGCAACGCTCCCGTTTGAAAGGTACGCCGTAAACATGGCGGAATTTGGAGCTTCTCACACCTCGGAACCATACCTGAAAAACGTCCAGTGTCAGCTGTAGGGAAACAGAAAAAGCTAAGATCATTGCGAAGCATATAGTACATAAACTAAATAATACAATTTATTATACAACAAATAATAGTTTACTGTATAACGAGAAAGTTAACACATTGCCTAATAACTAGTAATAATTCACCGACTGCTACCGAAGTTGGTGTAAGTAGGTGTATTTTGCGTGACGGGTTATGAAATGAAGTAGTGTTTGGTCAAAGATACACACATTACACATACAAATCATAACAGAAAAAAACTATTTTATAATAGAATCTCAAAGAGTTATAAAAGTTTCCAATCGAACTGGGAGGAAGAGCTAAGAAAGCTTTCCTATTTTAATAATTGAGATGTAACAACTATTAAGCAATAATTATGATAAACGTTTTCGTTATTCTATAAGAGTAACAACGACATCATTATCTGCTTGTTATTTACGCTTCCAATGACTGGCCGTTTATGGACGACCATCATCGGCTATGAATAGCAATCATTACGTCTGATTTTTTTATCTGTACTCTACTAGATTAGAATTGCGTATGGAATTTTAAATGATTGAAAAAAAGAACGATTTGTAACTGGCCATAAAGAATAGAAAAGAGGTTTGAATACAGTACAACTAACTAATGTGCCAAATATTACAAGCAAACGTGAAGTTGTAAACGTAAAAATAACAAAACACTTAAGTTAGACAAATGAAAGTGACAGATTCTTTTTAATTTAGTTTGGTAATTACATTTATGCTCTTTCTAAGCTGTTTTGACAGACAATCAGACGTAACTGTGACTTGCACGCGATTAGAGAAAATTATGTATTTAGATAATTTACGTTAAATAATTAATTGTGCAATTAAAACTTCTTTCGTATCGATGTATTTAAAAATACGGAAATCCTGTACCAAGAGGATGAAGTACGGGTTATGTCTATTTTACTGTTATTAGCATAAACTCTCACTCCATAACATTAAGATTAAAAATCCATTAAAAACTTTACCACGCATAAATTTTACTTTCATTATTCTAAGACTTTTATGGTCGATTGTTATGTTGACTATTAAAGGGAAAAAATAATACACAGAAGCAAACATTTAATTAGGAATATCAGTGACTATTATTCTTTAAGCATTGCTCCTTCAAAATAATGTCTGAACGAGTATGGCAGTGAGAAGGTTTTAATAAATTGAATTTTCTACGGACTAACTGGCGTATTCATGAATGTGGGGAATTAAGAGCAATAACCATAATTGCGTAACGGATTGTTAATATCAAGTGTCTTGTACGCACGCTCCATATTTATAATTTGGAGCAATGAGCTTAAGCGATGAACGCATCTATGATTTATCGTTAAATGCACCTCGATCAAGATATACCTAATACGATACTGTAATTAACATTAACTAGCTAAATGATTCACAGTTTATCACAGACGTAGTTTAATTCATTATTAGTAAATGAAAGATGTTTCAAAATAGTCTTTCTTAGTTTAGGTAATACATTTTGAAAATATGTTAAATTTTTCTTCCGATTAAATGAGATATTGCGCAACAGATTTAGTTAAGTATAAGGCATTTTGTTTTCGAAAATAAAACTGGCCAGTCTAAAAGCTATATATTTCTTAGATTGTTCACATGTTTATCTCTAACAATTAATCAAAGAGGATATATGAACAATTGATGATTTGTATTCGACTGCCTAATACGATGGACCTATTTGTACCTGCATAATTGCACATGCATTTGTATTGTGTTCATGGCATTGCCTATTCCAGTATCTTATTTTACTAGCATCCAAGCCATGTTAAATATTTTTAACATAGCAATTTCATATTGGTTTATATTTTTGTAACTATGCGCATTCAATCCTATCAAATCTTACCAGAAGCAAACCCTACTGTCCATAAACATTCCTCGGATGCAATCTGTTCCCCAAATTATATTACTGCAAAATAATAAAAACTAACTACAGCATAAAAAGCATTCCAAATATGTCTGAATAAAAAAGTGCAAAGAAAAATAATACAGTACCTGTGAATTAGTCATGATGTCTCCACGCTACTGGTGCAATATCAACACATGCACTACATAGAGGCACACTCCACAACTATACAGTTCTGTGCATTTTACATACAATAATCGTATACACAAATAACATAAAAATCAGCTATCAGCTGCCCACAACATGATGCACTGTACCTTAACACTGAAAGTTGCAAAGAAACAAAAAAGGATGCATTAAAACATAAAACAAAATAAAATGTGCAAATAGAATAAATACTGAGACGCTATAGTCGTGTAGACCTGCGCTAGGTCGCTACCAAATGATAATCTGAGTACGAAGTTAACGGCAGAAGCGCGTGTCTTGAACAGCTCGAGAAAAAAAGTGAAAAGACACCTTGTTACATACAAAGTCGTTGTCGCCGCCGACTCTTAGAGAAATTCAAATCATTATAGCTGATAGAACATCAATTAAATAATACGACCGATTATGTAAAGTTTGTTGCATAATGTGGATATGTTAATTGAGAAGCATTAGGAAAGTTTACAATAAAATTATGTATTTGACTTAAAACATCGTTTAATTACGTCGTCTTATTGTTATATCATCGATTTCCGTTCATCCCCATTTCACTATCAAACTCCTATCAACTACATATGTTAAAAGAGTTATTATACGATTAAACTGATAATTTGTTAGTCAGTAAGCTTGGCAAAACGTACTAAATTGGTACAATTAAGCAGTGGGTATGACTCAAACAAAATATTTAGCAATAATGTAACACTTTCGACTGGGTACATTCAAAAGATAAGGATGTTACATGATAGTCAACGAGGCGCAACAAAAAGAATGACTACAATGAACTAAGTAACCACAGCAGAAGCTACCTTACACTTACATCATGGTTTCAAGTGTGATTTTATTTTGATAGTACAATCTAAGTATATATGACGTAATTTTTAAGGAAACAGGTATCTAAGAAAATCCTTGCGTTACCATAAATAACTATGTAGGTACTTGTATCGAGTATGATGCTCATATGAATTGTTTGAGAGTTAAACAAAAAGTTCCTTACAAACTTGATTGTTTATGATTAGTCAAGATTCCAAACTGAATTGATTGATGTCACCTTATTCTTGTTTATTTTATGGCCCTATAATTTCATTATGCGATTACGAGGTTGCGGTCGTAGCGATGATCCTCAGTAATCCGCAAGAATCGAATGAACGATTGTTTTTCAAATTCTATTAAGAAGTTTGTCAATATATAATATTCGAAATTTCATAATAATGGGGGGTACATTCTGCCAGTCAGGCAGGTTTTATTTTTAAGGGGGGAAATCATCGAAAGTCTGCTCCCGCCTGGGCGAGGCGGGAGGGAGTGTCAGATTCTTACTGACTAAAAACCACCCCGTTCCTTCTGCACTTCGAGCCGAAGCCCCAAAACCCTTTAGGTTCTCCGCGACGAAAAATTTTCGTTACTTAGAATAAAAGTTCTTATATAAAATTACGAATCAGGTTTACCAGTCAGAAATTTAAAATAGCTTGAATAAATATTTTTAGATTACTAATTTTCATTTATATACAACTATCATTTTGATGTTTGAATTATTATAAATTGAGATAGTTATTCTGAGAACGAAAGAGACTCAAAATTACATGAAAGTTAATGGCTTTTTCATTATAAACTGTAGTTAAACACATGTTTAGTTACCTCATGGGAATGATGCCTTAATTTGAGGCTATTGTTATAAAAAAAGTCATTGTTATATCAAAAGTTCTATCATAGTTACTTGTACAAGGGAAAGTTGGTTGTGTTACCTTGTCAAGGGATTTGCATAAAAGTGTTTTATCTGATAGATATGAAACCACTATAGATAAGTGCTTAATGGAACCTTTATTATAAAATGTACTGTTTTCCCTTTGTTGAGTCGTCGTAATATTTTGTCTTGTAATGAAGAACTTACATCTTTTCTGCAGTCTTAGCCTATGAGCAGAAATAAATTAACTTGTTTCCAGTATTTAGAAAACAATAACTCCTGTCTGGCTTCGTCCATGGTCCCGTGTGATAAAACATAACCTGTGTTTTTCCAAACCATAATCTATGTATACCCCTGTTCCAAAGTTCATCACAATCCCTTCAGTTGTTATGACAAGAAGGAGTAAAAAATAATAATTATACTTTAACTTTCGCATTTATAATATTAGTATGATTTAATAACTATTTATTTATTTATCACATAAAGTTATATATTTCAGTCTTTGATGGAATGTATAAGGACTAAGGACAAGCACATAGGTATTGAATGTAGAATAAACTTTTATCAAATACATAATTATGTTGTTTGTATTTTATATTATTGTGCATCTGTATTTAATATAGTATTGTATTAATTGTACAGTACACTGTCTCTGTCTTATATGCATTCAATGGAAGACAAATGAATCAACCATTTGTTAGAATTTTCAAACATCATTGTGGATAGAATTTTAGTAATAACAAAAAATTTTATTCTATTACTAAGCATATTAGTCTAAGATCCGGCTGCAGAATCAGTGTACCCATCGAGTGTTTGCTGAAAACCAAATTTTTACACATATTCATGATTAGGAGAATTTATATCCACCAGGTTGCCTATCAAAATGTGGCCGCTAGTATTTTTAATTAAATTATTAATAATTCATAATCCGTAAGAAATTTCACTGACTTTTTTTTTCAATGAAATGTCGTCTACTTCACGGCAACATCTATAAAGACTCTGAAAAATTATGGTTGCCGTTGCGCACCTGGCCGCACCTCTTCGCAGCCAGGTATACACAGGTATGAATTTGTTACATTTATACACCCACAACGTACATTTATAATTTATATATCAAATTAAAGCAAATTTTTTTCTGTATATTATTATATACGGTTGCTTAATTAAATCTGGCCGCCAATAAGGGTTGCTGGCTAATAAATATAGTAAATATTAAAAGTAGAGTGAAAGAGAGCTAGCGCGTAACACCACTAGTCACTAGGTACGACTCAAAATAATAAATACTCCAAAAGAAACGTCTTTCTTTTCTAAAATAAAAAATTAAAAAGTCAACGACAAATTTAAAAATTACAAAAAAAAATTAATATTGATGATAAATAAAATCAAGGTTACTTATGTAAAAAAATTGTGTTGTACAAGTACTGTATGAAAAAAGATTTAATTTTATTCAAGTATTACATTTATTTTACATATTCATCAATCATCAGTTTTACCTTCAAGCGGGCGCGTAGTCATTTATAACGGGAGCAGGCGCGCGTAACCGAAAAGACCTATGGGATTAATAAGAGAAATTGCATTGAATGCCAACTGATGAAATTGACGATTTTTATGCCAATATCTTGACTCTGATTCCTCTTCGCATTTTCGCTTCTGTGAAATCTGATAAGATGACAAACAGATCGAATGATAAGCAATAGATTGAGTGCTCTTTAGCTTTGCTAAGAGTTTTGAGTCGTTCGATTTTTCTGCTATTGATCGTACAGTTTTAACTATCGCTTCTGATTGCGGGAAGGTTACATAAATTCGTCTTTTACCAACTTTTTTCTCAACATGATCACAGAAAAGGCAGGCTGATTTTTTGTTTGTTGATGAAATAGCTTGCTGGGATATTGTAGCAGCAGATGACAAATTTTGAAGAAACTGAGAATGAGCATCTTCCTGCGCAGATATGCTAGGCTGTTCGTTTGAAGGAGTTGTCGGAAGCTGTTCGTCGACTGAAAGTGTAGTTGGTTGATCATTCAAGTTACCCCTTGATTCTTCCTGCAAAATAAATGGATGCGTCGAAAGACAATTTGCATTAAAACTTTAGTCCTAGAAAAGTTTTTTTTGTATCCGATTAATATTATTTCTGCTGTATATACTCACTGGATCACAGTCTATAGCAGGAATACTTTGGTCATGAAGAACTGATGGGAAGCTCGGAATCTGTAAATTATAAGAAATGAGATATTACAGTAAAATATTCCGTTGTGATTCAACAGCAGAGTTTTCATTGTATGTTAAAAAGTTAAATTCCAATATTACGTCGATCTAAAAGAGTATAAATATGTAATCTTTGTTTTTTTTTTAATTTTTTAAATATAGACAAAAATATATTTTTTTCGTAATGATATAAAGCATGATTAACAGAGAAAATCGGTGATAGCATTTACTTCTTTACACTATATTGCTGAATGATTTTATTAATTATTTAAAAGGTTCGACTACATGAAGAATTCTACGTATTTAAGAAATTGAATATCCTAGGTATTACTAGGTGGAACTATGTGACCACGTTTTTCTATAAAAATGAAAAATAAAAAAAATATATAATTTCTACTAAATAACCTCAAAGTTAGCTCTGTATTATTTATATCGTAATTATTACCTATATTTTTTAAGTTCGATTAAAATTTTACTTACGGTTTGTGTCTTGCAAAAACTTTCGAAGTCTTCTTTATCTTTTTGCTTTAAAACTGTAATTTTTTTCAAACATTTTGTATGATATCCAAAATCATCGGTAGATTCAAGTGTTAATAAAATGTCATGATATTTATATTTTTTCTTGCGACGAAACAATAACATTAGAGAACACTTTTTGAATGAAGCATTATCAAAGTCTAGTACATTGCATTTTTTGTCGCACAGGAAACACGTCTTCATCCTTATAAATTTTATTTCACTTAAATGAGATTGATAATTTTTCGATGCACAAATAAAACAGCAATTTTTTTTTGATCCGTTGACAACACTAACATCTGACGCATGCGCAATGGCTTTAAACCGTCTGACAGCTGGCAATCGCTATCCTCGTCTGACTAGTGGTGTTACGCGCTAGCTCTCTTTCACTCTACTTTTAATATTTACTATATTTATTAGCCAGCAACCCTTATTGGCGGCCAGATTTAATTAAGCAACCGTATATAATAATATACAGAAAAAAATTTGCTTTAATTTGATATATAAATTATAAATGTACGTTGTGGGTGTATAAATGTAACAAATTCATACCTGTGTATACCTGGCTGCGAAGAGGTGCGGCCAGGTGCGCAACGGCAACCATAATTTTTCAGAGTCTTTATAGATGTTGCCGTGAAGTAGACGACATTTCATTGAAAAAAAAAGTCAGTGAAATTTCTTACGGATTATGAATTATTAATAATTTAATTAAAAATACTAGCGGCCACATTTTGATAGGCAACCTGGTGGATATAAATTCTCCTAATCATGAATATGTGTAAAAATTTGGTTTTCAGCAAACACTCGATGGGTACACTGATTCTGCAGCCGGATCTCGTACTATATTGTTTAGCATTCTACAACAATTTTGATACAATTCCGAACTAACATTTTTTATGCATAGTTGTATTTACAATTCTGGTTCAATGGTTATAAAATTAAATATAACTCAGTTCTATAACATTTTATGACAGTCTTATGAGTCAAATGGTTGCAAGTGTGACTGCCATGAAAGTGAAGTAAGGGGTAGATTACCGAATCAGTAATAGTTACTAATGGAGTCTGGAATTGAGCTTGGTATATGACAAACGACTCATTCTCTATACCATGGGAATCAGAACAAACCTGAACTGAACTGAATAGTGGGTGTAAATTGAGGCACTATGTGCAATTGCGGCACTTTTCGCACCTCTTTGGTGATAAAAAGAATGATGATATTATTATTATTACTGTCAAACACTGAGCGGTCCTTGGTGACCACGACCTATTGTTCTATAATTGTGTCTATAATGACGGTACTCAACAAGTTAAAAACACATTCATATAATATATTCATATAACAACTTAAACAAAACACAGAACATGTGGATGTTAAAAATTGTTGTAAAATATGCAATAACAACAGATGAGCTATGCAATAAATGCTAACTCACATTGTTGATGATCAATCATCCAACTATGAAGAAAGCTATGGTGAAAATGTGTATCAAGTCTGCCTATACTGATTTGTATAAATAATACAATAAATTATTAACTTTTAACAAACTTGGTTTTAGTCACTTAGAAAGTTTGGTGTTCGTTTTTTAACATTGTTAATGGGATTTCTATGATACAATTTTTACTTTCACATGTATTCATGAATTGAATGTCACATTAAAGTCTGATCAACATAACTGGGGTACACCTAGTTAGATATTAATATTTTTAATTTTATACTTGCATGAGAATTCTGTTCATAATTTCGTCTTTATTATAAGTAATTTTTACAACTATATTTAAGTTTCCCCCTATTCTATTTCTCTACATTTCTAATGGTAATTAATTTAAGTTGTGAACTTTTGTTATTAATTATTTTAGCCCCAGTTATTTATTATTTATTTTATATCTATATGATTATAGATTAGTTTTATTACTTTCTTTAAGTACCTATGTCTCATAAAAGTTATAATATAGGTTTTCTGATTAATATTTCGTAACAATTCTTTTAGGGCATTATACATCCTATTGTTATATAAAATGTTGTTTTGGCTGTAGATATTGGTGCATAGCCATTTAAGGATCAATCAATCAATTCAGTACTTTAATTACTGACAAGACCAAAGGAATCAACAATTTCGTCCGGCTTAGATCTGTTTCTGCATTCCGGCAAAATACTAGTTGAATATCTACATATAAGATTTATAATTTACAGTATTATTACTGTATATCTGTTGTAATTCAAATGATAAAAGTCGATAAGACCGCATTAATTGGTCAGTAGGTTGTCTCTGATATAATCTGTGCAGATATTGTGATCTACAAACATGGTATTTTTTTTACACAAAGAATCTTTGTGCATGTGTAAAATTGCAATGTAAATTATAGGCAAACTGTAGAAATTGTTGATGAGAAAGTGTTGTAAAAACTAGGTACATAACATGCTGATATAATTCCGATTTACTGTTTCAATTTTGTACCTAGTCGTGCATGTAATTACGTTAAACATGAAAAACTATCTGGCTTAAAACACTTTTTTTTTAAATATACTTAGTAAATTGAATTTCGAACAGAAAAAACCATATAATAGCGGTTATAAAGAACTCCCTGTAGACTACGAATGATTGTTAATCGATAACCTAGCCTTAGAGTTTATTCATGAAAACATTAATTAAAGCAACATAATAAAGTAATTTTACCTTTGCGGCAGGTTTATTGCACGCTCTTACATCCACAAGAGTACTCTTGCCAGGACTCTTCTCAACAATGTTTATTATTTCTAAACAATTAGTTTCTCTTATCGACTCATCTTTTACTGGAGGCATATCCTTTACACAAATAACAGCACAGTTTTTAATTAATGATTACTGATAATACAACACGTTAACGTTAATGAAAACAAAATACGAGAGATGTTACCGTACTGTTTCAACTTCAAGTGAAAATCGAAGTCAAATGAACGTACGAAATCATGAACTGAACGAATGTAATCAAATATCGATGTTGCCAGTGCAGATGTTTTTAACAAATTGTAAATTTATCGTAAATTTTGAGGATCACATTACTATAATTACAAAAATATTCATAATCAATGAAATTAACATTTTTTTTAAATAACTTTCAATTACTACGACAGACAGATGTCACTCTTGCGTGTATTGTTTTGCGTAACAAGTTTAGGAAGAACGAATGAACTAAACTCTCATATTTATGACATCCATTGCTTGTTTTGCTTTAATAATTACTGATTGATTGATGTAAATTATTTTATTGATCATAGACAATAAATTGAGATCATAACGTGTGATTTTAAATGTAAAATGTTTGGTTTAAGCTTCCAACAACCTAAAAATGTGCGATATTTTTTAACTAAATATTTTTACGGTTTTTATTTATTTTATTTAGGTACGAAATTTACTACCAATTTACAAACAAGCTCAAGTCCATATTTTTAAAGCAAATATTAATATAACAATATTATACTTTTACATTTTATTATCAAAGATGGAGGTTAGCAAATGGAGAAAGTTTTATATTCAATGAACTTGCGTTAACAATCAATCACTCAATCACTAGCTTGCTTTACGAGTAGCGCGAACATGCGTCGGATTTAATTAACTTACATTGCTGAGAATGGGGCCAACTCCTATGAATTATAAAGTATTCTATGTATCCACACTATCCAAAGTTTACCGTATAGTACAGTATCAGAACAGAAGCCACAACGACTATCTGAATTCATTTGTAGCATAGGTCAGAAGTTAGCAGCAGTGGTAGGTATTACGTTAAAAATTACTTTTTAACCAACTTAAAAAAATAAGGAAGTTCTCAGTTTGACTTGTATGTATGTATGTTTGTGCACGATTATATCGCGATTGGCAGATCGTGATAAGGTTTTCAAAGAAGTGTTTGTTACACTTAGGAGAAGGTTTATTTATGGTATAAGCCGGTAAACGAGCATACCGATCACCTGATGGTAAGCAATCAGCGTCGCCCATGAACACTTGGAACACCAGATGTGTTACCGGCCTTTTGGCCAAGATTGGGGAGGGGAGAGGGGATAATTGCGCCTCCGGTATCCTCAATCACAGGTAAGGACGAAACACAACGCAAGCATTATTTTATTTCATGTCGGTTGAATCACTCCGGTCAAGCCGGCTCATTCGTGCCGAAGTATAGCTCTCCCAAACACTTAGGGCCGATTTTTCAATCTACAGTTAAGAATTAACTGTAGAATAAAATTGACAGTTTTTAGTATGAAAGAATTTGTCAAATACTGAAAAAGTTATTCATAAAATGAAAAATTGGCTTTTTGTATATTAATTAACTGACTTCAAAAAAGAGCGGGGTTGAAGTCGTTCGTTTTAAAAGTAGTTCACAAAATAATTATTTCAAACTCACAAACACAATCTTTTACATTGTTTTATTCATTTAGCTAGTATCAGGGTTAGGTTTATTTTATTTTAATGGGTTATACAGAATATATACTTAGCTCCGAAATCTAACACTATCCGTTAAATATATTATTGTAGGTATTTACACGATTTACTCTTTATCTATAGTAAACGTACAGTGAAATATTTCATCAATGTTTCAAGTTTATTCCAGATACGTAATATTGAGGCCAATTATTTTTCTTATACGTCAGACGTTAGTTCGTGTGTAAATGGTCCATATCGATAACCTTTTAATTAAGTAATACTTGGGGGTCAGGTCGAGTTATTTCCCTTTTACTCCATTATTTAATAGGCATCTGTTTAGTGCTATCGCATATATGATATGTATCAGGTCAATAATGCTATTGTTATATTAATTACAAAAAAAAAACAACTTGGGACTTTACCCGCAAAATGCGATCCTCAAGCTACGTTTCAAGCGTGGATATTTTCGAAAATAACCTTTAGATTGGGATACATTCACTTGCAGATGTATTCCAGATTCCATGGTGATAGTGGTGGTGGTATACTACAATTGCTTTAGTTATATTAGATGGAATAAATCTACCTTCCTACAAAGATTTCTGATAGTCATTTTAAATCGATGCATGGATGCATAGACTTACTGAAATTATGTTGTGAATAATATTACTCACAAGTGGCATATATCATCTAAAAACTAAATATACTTATGAAACGTTTACTTTTTTAATGCTCATATTAACTCTATTAAGTAACTATTTGAAAATCTGGTGCATAAGAACAAAATAAATGCTTGGTTACTCTTGGGTAGCAGTAGGTCGATACCTATACCTACATATGCCTACTAACGTAATAGTACATCTGACCTTGGATCAATTCAACTAGCCAAAGACGATGTGTGATTGGCGAAGAGAAGTCGTTGAAGGATATTCATTATATTAACTGACGGTAGATGTTTTTATTTTGCACTGAACATGAACGGTCGATCCGGTCACTCCAATGACAAAACTGAATAAAATAAACAGGTATTTTAAGAATCATTCATAATAACGTTATTTTCTTCGACAAAAAAAATGCCTAAGTATATATCTTTAGTCTATTTCTGTTGATAATAAAACATGGGGCGTTGTGATAAAATAAAAAAAACGCAAAAATATAGCGCAAAACTGAGTGCAATTTCAATTAAAATTTGTAAACGATCTCAATGTTTTGCACACGAATGAACATAGTTCATGTGATCAGCAAACCGGTCGTGCGTCGTCGACATAATAAAGGCAGGGCGATAACCCAACTATTCAGTCTGAGCAGACGCATTGCGCGAGCCCTGTGACTGTGATACAGTGTCGTGTGATAAATAATTAAAGTTACTCGTGTATTAAATTATTTTAATAAAAATGCCGAAAATTTACAATTTTGGTGCCGGGCCGGCTAAAATGCCAGAGGAGGTGAGCACATTTTTTTTATATATTATCACATTACTATAATCATCCAGCGTTTCTTTATTTTTATATGTTTATTAATTATTTTGTCAGGTATATGAAATTATGAGAAATGAACTAACAAACTTTGATGGATCGGGCATAAGTTTACTTGAGACAAGTCATAGGACTAAAGCATACATGCAGTTTAATACAGAAGTTCAAAATGTTGTCAGAAGATTATTGTAAGTATCCAGCGTCGTAGCCTTATGAATTCTATGAATAAATTTACAATAAGTACATGTTTAATCAACTCGGTAAATACACAAGCTGGAAACATAATAACTAAGGTATTTATTGGTAATTAATTACGACATATATTCACCCGAAACAATTATTTTTAAATTAAAGAAATCGGATCACTTTGCACTTAAATTATGACATCCATTCAAATTAATAATTATAAAGCTCGTCACTCCAAAATAAAAAAAAACATTAGGTACTTTTAATTTGCAGTTAAAATAATAAGGAATAGATTAGAAACAATAATAATATGTTCTTATTATCTAGTATAATAAGGACAATAATAGTGTTGTCACTATAGCTCATCATTATTTAAATATTTGTAATTGAGGACTTGGGGGTCATCGAATTAGTTTAAAGAGTTCATTATTGTTTTGTGCCTCACCAACTGCTTCGGAAATTAAAAAGTATAACTTATATTAAACTTAGTTAGGGCAAATTAGTAATGTTAATACCTAATCATTTTCAATACATACTTTTTTTATCCCCCGATAAAATAAGAGGTTGTTTGGACTTCTATGGAATAGGAATATTTAGGCTGTTTATTTTACCTGGAAGTCTGAAACACTGTTCCTTGCGTCTCATCGCGCATCTTTTTTCGAGAAAAAAGATTTTAATTTCTACACAAAAACTATTTCCTTTATCTAGTCGGTAGAGGGTTGATAAACGAATGAATGAAAGACAGGGATGTTTGTACATTTTGAGTTTGACAACTTGTCTATCTTTCATTTTGACTTTGACTGTATCGCTTGACATTTTGGTTGCTGTGAGCTGAATCAAAATAAACGGCTAGTTTATAAAAAAATATAACATATATTTTTTTTATCATTATTTCAGAGATGTGCCAGCAAATTACAAAATTTTATTCATGGCTGGGGGTGGTACTGGTGAATTTGCAGCGGTTCCACTTAACTTGATATCTAGAACTGGGACTGCGGATTATGTCGTGACTGGTAAGGCGATGCTTTTATTCGTTCTTACTGTTATTTATGTGGATACCTCTTAAAAGGGAATACATAAGAAGGTTCTGTATATTAAATAATCTTAAACCAATGCTATCCTCCTTTTATAAAATACTATACAAAGCGAATAGGTTTTTATGAGCACTAGACTTGTAAACAATTTTAAATCGTATACTTAGTGTCCTTCTGCATTTAAAGTTTGCCCTTGACGGCAGGCCCTTATCTTGTTTGTTATTGGATGAGTAATGAGGAACATGTTTTGAATAAAAATATTGATTTGCACTAGGTATTGACAATAATGATAAAGGAAGTCGAACAGTAGCAAATAACGATTACAAAACTGGTTTTATTGAAGAAAAAAATGTTATAAACCTTTTCCCTATTCTAGTTACCTATGTACTCTAAGAAGTTTCTATGTTCTAATAATTACTGTACTTCATAGATAATATAATACTATATTGCTTTTGAATTGGTTTTGAAAAGTTATAGTTTATTTAATTTCAAATATAGAATGGGAAATAAATAACTCACATTTAAGTTTCTTAAAATTGAACTTTAAACAATGAATGAAAAGGTTGGTTTTTGAACAATATCTCCTTTTTCAGGTGACTGGTCAGCTAAAGCAGCAAAGGAGGCCAAAAAGTATGGCAAAGTGAACATGGTGCTGCCTCCTACTGATCGTTATGTTGGCATTCCTGATCAATCAGAGTGGAACCTTGATCCCAATGCCTCATATGTTCACATTTGCACCAATGAAACTATTCATGGTAACTATCTGATAACATTTTAAATCTTATCTTGTTGTATTTGTTTGTAAGTATATTATTATCACATTGTAAACTATGCTATTTTTGGGAGAGATTTGCGATATGATTTTACTTTGTTTTGATGAAAATTGTTGAATCTAATTATGACAAGACAAACACAACAAGCTGCCCCAATCTGTATTTTGCTCAATGGATTTTTGACTTAATAAGAACACAATAAAGTTGAAAAGAAAACTACTAACCCTTTGACTGCTAACAGAAAAATGTTGAAGGTAACCACTACTTCCACACATACTCACTGGAGGATAGTGTGCAATGTATTCACTTTAGCTTATATGAACTTTACAATATAGTACTTATTACATCATCTATAAGGTACATAGTGGTATGAATTACTCAGTCAGTGCAATTGAGTACATTCTCCATTAGTTTTAATCACTTTAATTAGATCAATGTTTCAATGACTGTAATAATATTGTTTGCTATGTATGCTAATATTAATTCTGTTTATATTCCAGGTGTTGAATTTGACTTTATCCCTGACACGAAGGGAGTGCCTCTAGTAGCTGACATGTCCTCAAATATTATGTCTAAGAAAGTTGATGTTTCTAAGGTAAGAATTCTATTTTGAGTTGTATGCATGTAGTCTAGGCCAAAAGAGTTGTTAGCTGTTCAATCCCCAAGTGGTCACCGGTGACCGCTCTCTACTAACTCCTTTGTAGACCTTATTTCCAATGTTTAGAGACTACTTTTGTATGAACAAATTTTCGGGGGTTTCGGTACGATATATTAACATAATAAGTACCTAGTAGGCAGGATTCGAGGAGGTTCTATAAAAAATGTAAGGCTGGCGAGAGGCTGTAAGTTGACTGCTTTTTTAAAATTGTAGGAGTGTTATTGTACAGAGCAGTTTCTTTATTTTAAATACTGTCGCCTGAATAAATTTCAGTTCTTGGTGGTTTGAATAACCGTAAAAATATGTACAAATTGAGGTTAAAATAGCAGAAAAGGTAACAGGAAAAATATATTATTGAGTACAGGAAAAATGAATATTGCAAAGAAAGAAAGAAGGCATTTATTTGGCAAGTAGGCACACAAAAAACAAAGATTATAAAAAATAAAAATTAAGTTACAGATACTTATATTAATACAGAATATCAATACATAGTATAAAACAAAGTCGCTTTCGCTGTATGTCCGTATGTATGCTTAGATCTTTAAAACTACGCAACGGATTTTGATGCGGTTTTTTTTAATAGATAGAGTGATTCTTAAGGAAGGTTTGTATGTATATACATATTGCACCCGTGCGAAGCCGGGGCGGGTCGCTAGTTAATAATAAACTTAAAAGAGTAAAGAAACGAACAAACAACAACAAAGTATAACAAAATTTGTACAATACAATAATAACAGAAATTTAATAGTATAAAAAAGACATATTAAATTCACGAGTCAGATATTTAAGTGCCTCTCCATTTAAAATGTTTCTAATGGCTTTGATAATTCAACAGCTCTTACAAATAATCATTAGATAAACAATTGTGGGCAAATGGGTTTAAAAATCACCTGATACAGATAAAAAATATATGCCTAGAGTATTAATTGGTATGACTCATATCAACAGCTATTAATAATGAACTAGTAACATAGATAACTAATAGCTATTAACAAGACATTGATAAAAGTATTTACTATAATATTACCTACTAGCTTTCGCCCGGGATTTCATCTGCGTAGAAGATGAATTTTAGAACATAACTCGTTTTTGTTTCAATTTTACAAAATACAAGTTGCGTATATTACTCTTTAGTACATCAGCTACCTGCCAGTAAAATTCTTGCAAAATCGGTCCAGCCATTCCAGGGATTAAAAACAAACAAACAGACAGATAGACAAAAATTGTAAAAAATGTTTTTTTGGTACGTGTATCGCATGTATATTTGTATGCATGTAGTAAAAAGCTTTTTTTTTTTTTTTTTTTTTTTTCTATTTATTTATTTTGGGGTTTTTATCCACATGGATATGCCAACCCCATCGTACCCTCTTAGTTTTAATTACACTACCTTAAGTAATAATATAAATAAATAAATTTATTGAGAGAGAATTATCAATCGGGTATTTTTGATAATCTACTTAATTTTACTGCTAACTTAGATTTAGGACTTGCCAAAATTGTCAGTACTAACCCAACATCTAAAACATTTAGTTTAAACTCTTCAATTAATGATTCTCTCTCATTCTTGTTTCTGATACATTCCATCAGCAAGTGAAGTATATCTTCAATTTTGTTGCAAGATAAACAATAAGGTGATGCGACTTTTCCCATAAGATATCCAAACTTTGCTGATGGAAAGTGTCCAGAGCGTAATCTTAAGGCTAACTTAATATACTCTCTATTTAATTTGTCATCATCGAACCACAGCATACGAGGAGGCTCACTTTGTATCACTTTGTACCATATCCCTTTTTCTCTAGACGTTTCATCAAAATGGTTTTTCCATTTTGTGTAACATTCATCCTTGAATCTGTTGACATATTCCCAGTAATCTGGTAGGTATACTATTTCATTACCTGAGTCAACGGCAAGCTTGGACAAGCTGTCAGCCTCCTCGTTGCCCCGGAGGCCGATATGTGCTGGAACCCATTGCAATACAATATTGATATTATTATTGTTCTGATAATGGATTAATTTGAGAATATCATAGGCTATCGCTGTTCCTCTGCAACCAGAGGTACATCGAGCCACATGCTGTAAAGCGCTTTTACTATCAGTAAAAATAACAACTTTATTTAATTTTTTGTTTACTGCATAAAGTATAGCTTGATATATCGCAATGAGTTCCAGCGACATAATGGAGACGTCGATGGTGATTTTAAATATAAATTTATCCCCTAAGCTTTGACAATAGAAGGCCGCTCCGCCCCCCCCTGCTACTTTTGACCCATCCGTGAATATTTTACAGTAGTTTTCATATTTGGAAGCTAATTCGGATACCACCTCTGTTACTAATAAATTAGGGTCATAATATTTTTTTGGTTGTCTAACACTTTCTAAATTACATTGAATAGTATTTTCAATCTGAATAGCCGATACCCATATATCAAGGATGAACATTTTAAATATATCTGAAGATGCTAACTGGAGTTGACTCAATTCATTAAAAACTGTGGCGAGCAAAGGTTTCTTCTTATTTGTCCAATAGGGGTCATGAATATGCGAGTTTAATTCTAGAATGATGTCTTTACTGGGGCTGTTAGACCAAGATAGTGTTTTCAAAATAAATTTATAAGCTAGGTATTGTCGTCTTAAAAATAATGGAAGTATGTGCAATTCACTCTCCATTACATGGATCGGTGAACTTTTAATGAAACCTCCTATCACTCTAAGAGCTTGGTTTTGGAGTTTATCCAATTTAGCTATATTTGTCTTTGCACTAGTATCATATAAAAAGCATGCATAATCAAGTCGACTTCTGATTATTGATATGTATAGTTTGCGTATATGCTTAGGGTGTACTCCCCAGGTACCACCGGCTAAGACTTTCAATAAATTTAGATATTTTGAACATTTTGCTATAATCTCGCTTATATGTTTTCTCCAGTAAAGGCTTCTATCTAACCATACTCCAAGATACTTTACACATTCTACCATAGACAACGGTTGGTCATAAATTTTTAGAGTTGGTACTATCTTTCTCCGGCCTCTACTAAAAATACAGTAATTAGATTTTGTAGGCGACAAAGTTAATCCAATCTCACCCAGTAACCCAACCAAACGGTTGAGGTTGTCTTGCAAGTATTTTCCACACTTTTCAATCTGTTTGTCACCAATATAAATAACAAAGTCATCCGCATACTGAGTGAAGAACACGTTTTGTAATTTATCACACATTTGGTAAGTGGCTAAATTGAACAGTAAAGGAGACAGCGGGTCTCCTTGTGCTAACCCTCTATTAGTCCACCTAGGTGTTAATCCGTCATTATTAAGAGATTTAATTACCAAGTGCCTTTCGTTCATAAAATTCCAAAGGTAAATGCAAAATTTTGACCCAACCTGTAGATTATCTAGGCTTTTTGTTACTGCTTCAATGGATACATTATTATATGCATTTTCAATATCTAAAAAACATGCGATTGTGGGAATATTTTTGGAGAATCCTACTTGAATAGTAAAAAGCTGTTATTTTAATATTACAAACAGACACTTCAATTTTATTTATCTGTATAGTTATGGTATTTCTAAATTAAATTATTACAACTTTACAATACATAGAATTACGTAAAAAATAAATGAAATGCTCTCCTTTAATATTTTTATAGCTTGTAAATAGATAAGTAGGTATGCTTGCTATTCCATTAATAAATAAACGAAAAATAAGTGGCAAATATTCACAGATTTAGAAAAATTAGTTTGATTACTAGGAAGCAATCCAATTTATGTTTGGTATGCGATTGCAAGATGTGGATGTGCAAGAAAAACATGGATTTTTAATTTTTCCGGTGATTCTCAAGTCTCAAGATCTACTGAATCAACCAATATATTACTTTTAGCTTCGGGGGCATTGGCCGCGCCGACCTACGACTTATCAGCTCAATGATAGCCCAATCCACATGTTAACAACCGCGTGTACTGAGACATACTCATTTGTTTATCTTCATAATTTTTTAAGACTCAATAGTTTATTAAAATGTCTACATTTCTGTCGATACCTGATGACATTTATCAAACCATTCTATTTGAACTAGAACTGATATAATTATAACATAACATCACGCCCTTAATCCTCGAAGGGGTAGGCTAGGTGCACATTACGGCACTTACGGCTTTAACTGCCAATAGAAAACTGTTGAAGGGAAATCCTCAGCTAACGTCGGTCTCCGGTGACCCCCATGGCGTTTAACGCGTTAATGCCACAGTACAATGTAACACCCACATTTCACTATTTATGTTATGAGACCCATGTAAAAGGAGGTGAGCCTATTGCCATATACCGGACACAATTCCAGATTCATATAAACTAACATCTCTTTAGTAAATTATAAATTATTACTTAAAGTTAAAACCTTCGCGTATCTTAAACCTTCGCGTATCTTAAACCTTCACGTATCTTAAAGACCGAGTTATTTTCTGCATGTTTTGACCTAGAACCATGACATAGGCGCAGAATGTACAGTCAATCCAGCTATTCAGAATGCAGGTATGAAAATAAAGATTGGTTCAGTACAAAGACACTAACTATTGGTTAGCTGCTGAGTCAAGTCAATGGTTACGAAATATATGGCTTCGTTAAAAACCATATAGAATAGAATATTTATTGTACACAAATCATAATACATACAGAACATAACATACATAACTTGGTGTTACAATAGCTACTGTCTCTGTACTGATTCAACCTTTATTTTCATACCTGCATAGCTGCGGTTGCATACCACATAACTTAATTGACTGTACCTATTATATAGGATGAGGCATGCGCCAACGTCTATAGAATAATTACATATCATGTAGGTAAAATATAAACACGGACTGTGTAACAATATTCCTTATTGTTAGTAAACATAACTTCACGGCACTTAATGCCACTGTACAAGGTAACAACCACTTTTCACTATTTTATGTTAGGAGTCCCATGTAAGAGGCGGTGAACCTATTGCCATATACCGGGCACATTTCCAGGCTCCGTGTAGTATCACGTATCTTTTTTAAAAACCCAGTAATACTTTGCCCGACCCGGGAATCGAACCCCCTTTGCCCGGTAGTCCCACTTTCGATGTCTCGGCCAATGAGGCAGTCATTTTTCAATTAATTCATAAGGCGTTTTTGAAACGTCAAAATTAATTTGTCTGTCAGTCTTGTTAGTAAAGCTAGATGCTCGTTTCAAAGTGTAGTTTCGAATGGAGAACAACGACGTAGTAGGTTGCAAATTCGCCTCAAGACCTGTTTTGTAGGTAATAGACGTGCCTACTTATGTATCAGTAAACGCCATTAATAGGCCGAAAGAACGATAAGATAGCGAATTGATGCCCGATTACAAGTTATCTCATAATAAGTTTGAATGAGTTATATCTAAAAACTACTTAAAATTACTGAAGTTAGGTAGAATTTTACCTAATGCAGCCAATAGCCCAGTGTATAGGGTAAAAGGTCTTAAAACCAACCCAGTAGGATTAAAAACATCACTAGCGCCATCTAGTGAGAGCAAAATTCCAAACATTCCTTAATAGACTAACTTGCACATTAAGAAGTAATATTATTCTTATCAACATTCTTCTCTTCTTTTCTAGTTCGGAGTGATATACGCTGGTGCACAGAAGAACATTGGTACCGCTGGTGTGTGTCTGGTAATCGTTAGAGAAGATTTGCTGAACCAAGCGCTGCCAATATGCCCATCGCTCTTCGATTGGACTGCCAATGCTAAGGCCGACTCCATTCTTAACACACCTCCTATGTTCGCGTGAGTATCTATACCTGTATGGTACCTTTGTATAGATCTATGATGGCTAAAAAACCAGTTTGTCGTGGTCCCTCTTTCTGTAGTTCTCCCACCAAATTCGACGGTCAGTTTATACTGGATTTTCATAGCTTGATGTGTGGTCATGTACACCAGATAGTTTCTTTCGAGTCACAAAGGCTTTAGATGGAAATGAAAGTAGGTACTGTTAGTAAAATTCATATGTTTGATTTGAGATGGATAATTATTTAGTTCAATATAGTGCAAGTATTTAAGCTTAAGGTATTGCTCAGGTGTGGCTAAAACTAGAAATAAGAACCTGGACCGGCTTTGTTATTACAATACATGTTTACAACTCTATACACTTAAAATGTAGGTCAAATTTAAAAAAATCCCTTTTTCTCAATTTGCAGTCCAATTGTTGAGGAAGGTTATAGCTACAATTATCTTACATCGCGGTTTATCGCGCTTAGGAATAGAACACGTGAGAGCAACCTTGAATAATAGCAATAAATATAATAAAACTTATCATATGCCACACTAGACTCGATTAGAAACAAAGAATGTATTAGATAACTAAAAGGTATGTTTTGTTAGTACATACTTAATCTTATTATACATACATACATACATAACTTCACGCCTGTCTCCCATGGGGGTAGGCAGAGACTAAGGAACGCCAATTACCACGATTCTTACATACCTCTATCGCTTCATTAACAATTATCTTATTATCTTATGAAGATATTAGCTATTCTCAATTTCACCCACTCTGCTTACCACCTATTGATTGTAGTGTGATGTTTTATAGCCTTTCTGGATAAATGGACTATGCAACACAAACATTTTTTTCAAACCGGTCCAGTAGTTCCGGAGATTAACGCATTTAAACTAAACAGACTCTTCAGCTTTTTTTACTAATATTATAAATATGAACGTTTGTGAGTTTCTGTGTATGTTTGTCACTCAATCACGACAAAACTCTCAAAGACTCTTAAAGACTCCTGTCTAGACCCATTAGACTTAGACGGTAGATTAGGAAACGATCCCTAATCTATTATTCCTTAATCTATTCCCTAATCCCTAGGGATTTATTAAGGTGGGAAAATCATTGAATGACTGCTCCCGCCTGGGTGAGGCGGGAGGGAGTGTCAGACTGTTACTGACTAAAAACCACCCCGTTCCTTCTCCTGCACGTCGAGCCGGAGCCCCGGTAACCCGTTAGGTTCTCCGCGACAATCCCTAGGGATTAGGTTGAAATTTGAAAGACGCATAGATTATGATCTGGAATAAGACACTAGTTAATTTATATCCCACGGGAACGTGTGCGAACACGCGGGCAGAAGCTACTTATATAATAAAAATAAATTCTAAGATAAGTAATAAGGTGTTTTCACCCTTAGTAACAGATATTATCAATTAGATAATTTTATTATCGCTGGAACAAATCATATACGTTAATTAATAGATACCTGAACATGTTATTTGTTATTATTATTATTGTTGGAATTCGACGTAGGTAGATATCAACCCTATTGTTGATAATGCAATGGAAAAAAATATTATTTTGTTTTTCGTAAAAAGCGTGTAAACTAAAAGTTGATAATGGAATTATGGTATTTTTCCTTGGATAATATAATTAATGAAATTATTTTGACTGAGAACAATGATTTTATTGCGTAGTTGTGGGGTAATTTTTGTAGTAATTTTTTGTAATTATTTTTCCGCCATATCAGTAAATAAAATAATTTACAACACTTGTAAAATTAAAAGTAAATTAGTTGTAGACAAAAGATATAAACTTAATCGAAGTCAAATAACAAATAATTTAGTTATTTAATAACATTGGGATAGGTCATGTACTATTTAAACAAGTTGATATATACGTAAGCCATATCTACTGACGTTATTAATAAAATGTTATATGCAGTTGTTTTAAACCAAAAGAGTTACTAGCCGAGAATTTTAATGTGTACAATGTAACACCCAGTTCTCGCTATTTTATGTTATGAGTCCCACGTAATAGTCCAGACTCCGTGCTACTACTGAGATTTTGTATAAACCCAGTTATACTTTGCCCGGCCCGGGAATCGAACTTGAGACCCCTTGCGACTACTCGGCTAACAAGGCAGTCATTCTATTAAGCATTCTAGTCAGTCTATTTCTTGAACCATGTAATATATTATTAACAAAAAATCCTCTACTTTTCAGTATCTACGTAATGGGAAGAGTTTTACAATGGGTTGAGAGGAATGGAGGTGTTGAAGGCATGGCTCAACTAGCCGCGAAGAAAGCGTCACTGATCTATGGCGCAGTGGAAGAGTCCAATGGCTTCTATTCCGTGCCAGTAGCCAAGAATGCCAGAAGTAAGATGAATGTCCCATTCAGAATCGGATCTCCAGCCAATGAGGATCTTGAAAAGGAGTTCCTGAAGGGCGCTGAGGCTTTAGGACTTATTCAGTTGAAGGGACACAGGTAAATACTATGTCAATTTCATCTGAATTCATATTTTGTTTTGATAGAAGTCTACAGTGCTCGTATTCGAAAAAAAAAAATACACATTACGGCATCCGAGTTATACAAAAATAAACAAAGAAAAGTAAATAAATTATAAGTAAATTTAGAATAGAATAGAATATAATAATAATCTTTATTGTACACCAATTTGAGATAGTATATCGAACTACAAATTAGAGAAAATAGGTTACAAAGGCGGTCTTATCGCTAAAAGCGACCTTTTTATTAATTTAATTCAATTTTAAGACTTTTTTGCGTAACTATTCGCCGAGGTTACCTACTCGATTAGTTTCAAACTACACTAAGGTCCCATACTCATGAGCAAAATGTACAAGGACCGAGACAAGTGTCGCGCACGATAGAAATACACTAGTCCATTTCCGTAATTAAAATTAATATCTCTATAATACATTTCCAGAAACGTCGGAGGTATCCGAGCGTCCATCTACAACGCAGTATCAGTTGAAGAAGTGGAAACCTTAGTGAAGTACATGAAAGACTTCCAGAATAAACATGCCAAGTAATTCATAAGTTTATTTTTAATATTCTATTATTATTATTACAAAAGTATTTTACCTACTTTCTTGTTTGGCTAGTAAATTAAGTGTCGTGTAATTGGCTGTGCTAAAATTCTTATTGAAAGAATAAATTTACTTTTAATTATTATGTTGGTATTTTACTGAGAATCGTTGCCCTAGTAATGGTTGTCATGTTTTTCTTATCGAATTAGATAAATTGTGTAAAATTTTACAGTTGTGGACACATTTTTTTCTATTCGTTAATATTATAGTCCAATTGATTTTCAATGCTATTTCCATGAGATACAATTTACTGATCAAGTTTAGTATCAAATAGAAAGAAAATTAAGTTAAAAATCTTGTATTTTTCCGAAATAACACCATATTTCTGACTACAGACACTAACTTACCTACTACATTCCACAATACAGCGTGATACAAAAAGGACATTGCACATTCATTCTTTAAACGTCGTCACGTGCGCAAAGCATGTCAACTTAAACATGACAAAATGATCATTATACTAGTTTATTTCATAGACTGATCTTATGACATTAATTGAAAGTGTCAACAGGTCAGAAAACACGTAATCACTGGTTTTATTGACACAATTGGTTACTGATAATAACTATACTAGTATTTGTTAAGCTTTGTTTATATTTCGGCGAGACAGTTCAATAGGCTTGACCTCTCCCTAGTTGGTTGGTAACTATAGTGAACAATTGTTAATTTTAGTAATTTTGTGTAAGCAGTCTTTGCCCGCGGTTTCTTATCCACAAAATAACTCCTTTTAACGCCGCTCGCCCACAAGCTACTTTTGTATTGATTCGCGCGATCACTGAAAGCGCGAGAGCATCTCTACCAATGTTATTTTTTTATGGCATAAGCCGGGTAAACGAGCAGACTGATCACCTGATGGTAAGCAATCGGCTTCGCCCATGGACACCTGGGGCGTTACAAGTGGAAATGTGTTACCTTTGTATGCACTTCACGTTGCATTGATGCTAAGTGCGACAGCATCGCTACAAAAAGCGAGGGCGTAAATGCGTGGGCGAGCGGCCAGCAGTGTACACTTACAGGCTGAAGATGATGTTGATGATACTCCTCCAAGAATACACCTACCTTTTATATGCTTATGACCTCTTGATAGTGGTACAGTACCAGTTCAAATCTCTATTTCAAAAGGAACTCTTTACTAAAAGAGCTTTATGTATATTGTCAGAAAGCTATAAATAAGAATAAAAATTCTATAGAACTTCTAGATTTTTCTTTGGTATAAATCTTTGTGCTGCTGCAAACAGCGTTACAGTGCTTGATAACGTAGGTAAAGGAATGAAATAAAATAAAATTCTTAATAAATATACGTATTAAAATTTATTTCATTAAAATTTTTGTAAAAAAATATCTTTATTATGTAATCACTAAAGTGGTAAAAGATTGTGATGGAATATTGACCACCTGATGAAGATTCTTTGAGTATTTAAATAAAAAAAAACACAATTTCATTAGGTACGTACATAAATGAATACATGTTTCATAGAACTAGTCTAATACTCTCTTATATATTTGTTACTGCTGTTCCCAGTACGGTCCCAATATTATGTAATTTACTATAAATTATGTCAGCTTAAAAATACTTTAATACAAAACGTATATATAATACATGTCCCATATATTCACGTGATAGTTATAAAAATAAATCATTCTATACATTTCACTGTCGCATACACACAAACAATCATGCACATTATTATATAACAGTCCAGTTTATAATACAAAACATAAACCGTCAATTTATATTACCTAGCTTCCTTTATGTTAGTAATAATTACTCTTGCTAATTATATTGTTCTATAGATTTAATTATTACTAACATATCAAGAAAAGTTTTTCTAAAAAAATATACAAAAAAATATTTAATAACATTATATTTACACGATTATAAATCGGGTTGTTTTGGAATGTATTTTTTATACAAAATTCGTTCATATATTCTGAGTACTCTACTTCATATGGCAGTGTTCGCCTTACAGTACTTGAGCATTCTTCGTTGATGAATATTTATTTAGAGAACATCAACACATTCACTGTTTTCGAAATAATGTAACGCCTTTACTGACTTTTGTGACGAATTTACTTTGTTAAATAGACTTATTTGGTGGGGGCTGTAATTTAAACAGTGAGTGTGTTAATACACGTAGCATTATATCTAAGTTTCTTAATAAAGCTAATAGAATACGACATTCTATAATAACATACTTGATCCTCGGCTTGTGATCCACAGACTAAATAATTGTTACCTGTAGATACTTCTTTTTACGTTGTACGCCGAGAATTGACACTAAGTACGAAGTATTATGTAAGATTGACCAGAATACGACAAAACGCAGTCCCTTGTTACTCCTATTGACCTTCACTGTCGCTGTCACTCTTATCTGCAATGGATAATACAATTATTAGTATTTCATCATTGTTATTTACTTTGTACAGTGCGTCTCCCAGACCGATAATGTTGTTTGTGCAAGTGGAATTTTTGTTCGTGCGTAAACATATCCGATAATACATATTGTGTGTGTTTATTTACATCAGACATTGTTCTTTTGTTGTTTTTTTTGTTTACAACAAAGACTTTGACGTCATTATGATAATAATAACTAAATTAAGAATCAAATGGAATTCTTGTAATTGAAGTTATCAGTAATTGTAATAGTACTTATGTAGTCTGGTCTTGACGTCCTTATTTGATAAGCCCATTAAATTCAGCTGAATATTTTCCTACATGAAAGCCTACATGAAAGGCTTTATGATTTATTGGATCAATTTCATAGAAGCTTCATATGCTTACAATTTGACGTGAAACTTTTAAATGCCTGATGAATAAACAAGTGTGTTCAGTGTAAACTAGCTACGGTCTACGACAAAACAGCAAAGCGTAATCTACAAAGCGAAACGTGCAAAAGCTGCATTCTCTTTAAACAAAAGTGCGCACTAGTCTAAGTGCTACATACATACTGACCTTTCTTACCCGGGTACGCGTGCCTCTTTAGTCTGTCATAGAGATCCTCCTTGGTCCCGTATATGCTGGCGTTGGATCGGGCTAAGCTGTTCATTTTGCCGTTCATCCCATTATGGAGACTTTCCTTCATGTAAGTCTCGTTGTAGAAGTTTGGCATCTCCCAGCCATCTTCTTCATCGTCATAGTAGTGTGCGTACGTGGAGTGGTGTGATGGGGCTATGGACTCCGCGTACGGTGTGTGTGCTCCGTAGTAGAAGTTCACTTGGGAGCCATTTTGGTCGATAGCTGGTGTTAAAGTCTTCTTTGGTTCCTTCTTCTTTGTTGATCTGTAACGAGAGATGATATTTTGTATATGATTCTTTGCCAAATAGTAGTTATATAGTTAATAAGTTAATAGATCTGATAGTTGTTCAAGAGGACGTCTGTAGAGGAGCAATTGTGCTTTTAGGTAGGTTTAGGTGCCTAAATACAACAAGCGAATCACAATAATCTCATTAACTTTACAAAATTATCAAAATATCTTTTGTTACCTAAAGAAAATATGTTTAACATATCTACATAATATGTTAATTTTTGGTTTACAATTGCGGGTCTAATCGAAAAGGTGATGGTATACAATTTTTCGTAAAATTTACCTCGCACAAATCATCCATACAAGCAGTACTAAGAATATAATAAAGATGACTCCTCCCGCGACTCCGCTGGCGATGTACGCAAACTCGCTCTTCTCTCTGCAATGGCGGCCGGTGAACGAACCAGTGCAGCGACACGAAGGTTCACCTCGTGCATCCTTCACGCACTCACCACCGTTGTCACAGAAGTCTTGACATACATCTGGAAATATTATTAGGCATTTTAGTATTTAATGCCAAACTATCTGTGTCTGCCAAACATGGAGATTATGGCCTTTGTAAGGGATATCTTTGTTAGTGACGTCTGTAGTATAATGGCGATGTGTAGGACTGTCTTTAACTTAAAATATTACAAGACACGAAAGTTGTCTTATGCTTGCCATTTAAAAATTATTATCTTTAGCCAAAAACTTCAGAAATTCGGAGTGCGTTAAAATTATTCATTTGTACAGGAGTAGCGGTTTTTTTTATAGTCAGTTTTTACAATTTATTGACTATAACAGAAATACCTTCATTCTCTTTGTTTTTGCTTAATTCGTAAAGAAAAAAGTGATAACAATTCTATAAAGCAGATTACAGTCCAATATAAGCATTTGTATCTACCGAATCTCATACCAACAGTTTCATAAAATACTTTGCTACATAAATCAAAAGCCTGTCAACATTCCCTTAGAATTGATTTCGGAATCAATTCCAATATTCAGAGAGACGAGAAGTATAAGAAATTTGGGCAATTCAGCTGAATACTTTCTACGATGAATACAAATTAGCTGTCGTACAAAAATTCAGTCTCCATTATACAGGCATCAAAGTTTCGAATGAGGTTTCATCAATAGAAGCTTAATTTTCAAGGCAAATTTCTTTTAAAAACTTTGAAGAATTGAGATTACTAGTCTGGCTTTCTTGAATTAAGTCTCGCTTACCTATACAGACTTTTCCAGTGCCGTTGAAGCCTGGTTTGCATTGACACTTGAATTCACTAGTCTCGGGTATCAGGAGGCAGTACGCATTGACGTCACAGTGCATCTCTGGGCCACTCATTTCACATGGGTTCGTGCATTCTGCTTCCGAAGTCTGTAAAATGATTAAGTACGGATATTAGGTACATACATACAGCAGGAAATAATAAATTATTATGAAGTAAATGAGCATAAAAGAAAAGTTTTGTCAGCCGGAAATATTTTTCTGAATATTTTTTCTACAAAGGGCGTAAACCATAACAACCTTCCGCAATTTAACCCCAAGTTGAGCCATTTGACTTGTAGGTACTTTGATCATGAGTTTTCTCTCAGAAGAGCTTTCATTTTTATTGTCATCGTCGTTTTGAAGATGATAAAGAATCCACTTGAGATATATTTAGGACGTTATTAAGGCTAAGTAGGTTTACTTACAGCGCCGGGGCCTCTAGTGCTTGTGTTGATCGGACATGGAACACAGACTGTCTGCTGAGCCTCTGATTGATAGGTTCCCTTTCTGCACTGTACACATGTGTTCAATGTGACGTTGAGGTATGAGCCTAGAAAATAAAAGAAAATATTTTATGAATACATTTATCACTGACAAAAATATTCGATTAGGTAGGTATAACGAATATCCAGAATTCTCAACTATAATATTCAACAATAGAAATCGGATTAGCGCGGATTCCTCGAGTTCAGAAGATCAAAATTCCGTTGTCAAAATATTTCACATTTCAATGGATTGTTTCAAAGTCAATTCGTAATTTTATAAATGTTTCTGTGAGAAAGTTTTGAGGCGAGAATTTATTTGTATCGGAGTTTTGTTAGGTGTTATTACCAGGTCGGCAAACGGGGAGAGAGCACTGATCGGCTGATGATGCTCCAGATTGCGGGGTAGTGGTTCCTGGTGGGCAAGGAGCGCATGCTGCTCCTGATCCATTAGCACGCCATGTTCCTCGAGGGCAAGGCTCGCAGCCTCCGTCACTGCTCAGTTGTTCACCTAAAACATTATTTTATATTTATTACACAATCAATAGACTAAAGCTACAGTCAAACCACAACTCATTTGATTTGTCCATTCCATTTTCAATATCTTCTTTCATTTACCTGAAGGACAATCGTCTCTGCATTCAGCAGCCGATACGGCTTCTGTGGCTCGAGTAGTTTGTCCTCTAGGGCAGGCCATGCAAGAGAAGGCACCTTCACGTGGTTGGTACGAACCGTGGCCGCAAGGACGGCAGAGATCAGCTTCAAAGTCGTAGTATTTACCAGCAGCACACCGTTCTGGAAAACAAAACTCGAATATTGGAACCAGGAACAAGAGTATGGAGAAAATGGTAATTAGTTCCAAAATGGTTGTTCATATACCTTTGCAGTCAGCAGCACTGCGGGCTCCAGTCGATTGTGTGACACCAGGTTGTCCTGCGATAGCTGGGCAGGCAGTACATTGCACTTGTCCTGCTTCAGATTGGTAAGTGCCCTGTGGGCAAGGCTTGCAAGTATCGCTGGCAGCGTCCAGGAATGTACCAACTGCACAAGCCACTGTAAATAGATGAATAAAGCAATTAGAGAACTGTTCAATGATTTTTAAAAAGATTGAGTCAAAGTAAATTATAGTTACCACAATCAGGAGCCATGACAACTTGTCCCGTGGGGCAAGCATAGTCGGAAACCAGACTCAAGCTAGCTGGATCGGGGACGGTGTTAGGAAGAATGTTCCTCACGTCGAATTGTTCGTCTTCAAGAATTAGTTTCTCCAATAAGCGTTGTACAGTGGAGCGTTCGTTGTTACCATTGTGGATAACTGGATCGCTGTGAGATTAAATAATTGTATATTAGATTACACGAAGAGGTGTATAGTAATATATTATTTCAACAAACCATTATTTCATTAAAGCATATACGTTTATGTTACAACAAGTGCTAGTGTTACTACAAAGCATGCAAACAACTTACTTGACAGACGGGAAAGAGATTTCAACGTTGTATGTATCGCCAACCTGTCGACCCTCCCTACTGCTTCGTGTCCTAAGTGCCACAAAAATACATGCAATTGTGATAGAAGAAACAACATGCTTTTTTGTAAAAGCCTAATAGTGCATCAGTTTTAAGAAAACTTAATATTGTTGCTACGAGACCAAAGTGCTGCCTTACTGTACTGTGTTATATAAACACATGCTATGTGCTCTACAAAGATGAGTTTTTACATTATAAGTTTTGCATATTGTGTATCTACGCCGACACCGTATTGTTCGACTCCTACTTTTCGTATGAAGGACTATTCTAAGGCAAGGTGAAGTTGAACTTACTCTTCGACGGGGATGATAGCATCCAGTACATAAGTATCTTCAGCAGCTACGGCGGGAGGGGTGGATACTTGTCTCGTTTGTCTAGAGTTAGCGCGGTGGTCGCACTTCACATTGATGTCCAGTTCTTTGCACTCGCGAGTTCCTGTGTAATTCATTGACATTGTAAGTTACTTCAAGATCTTATACTGACTTTACATGTTGATAGTCTTCTCGTCATACATACCGTCGACAGCGTAAGAACAGAAGTTCCAATCTCTGTTGAGTTGGTTGATAGCGCTGCGGACCTTCTGTCGGAGTACTCCTTGACCGGCATCATTGCAAAGTACAGAGCTTGGGAACAACATTGATATCTTGAATACGCGCTGAGCTGGTGAGGCCGCTGTATAAACATAGCAGAAATTAATAAAATCAGAAACAAATTAATTGGAATAAGGTCAAAAGAATAAATTGATAGATTTTCTTACGTGAACAAGCAGGGTAAACCAATGGTAGAGTAGGATCAGCAGTTGGTCTCCAGAAACCTTCAGCGCCACAAGTGTAGAACGGTGGTACGGGTTGAGAGAACCTTAGGCCATCGCGGCAAGCAATCTCGCACACCTTGAATTGACCACCGGCACCCCAATCGCGGCAAGACTGGTAACCACCGAGTGGGTCAGGTAGCGGTGGACAGAATTCAGCTGGAATAACAATAAAAATATTAGTATTACGTTACGGAACATTGTTTCGTGTTTCATAATATTAGAAACCTTGAAAAACTTACCCAATACGGTAACCTTGAAAGTGCAAGTAGCTGCGTTGCCTGCAGCATCATACGCAATGTAAGCAATGTCATATGCCCCCCAGGCCAAGTTCTGTCCAGGTCGGTGACCAGATTTCTCCACCACCTTGGCGACTCCAACATTGTCGCTGAACATAGGAACATCCCAGCTCACAATTGATGATCCGTTCTTTGCAATCACCCAGAGATCTCCAGGGCAACGCTCAATTCTTGGCGGTTCCTTGTCGACTTGCAACTGTTGGCATTTAGAACCAGCGTAACCGTTGGGACACACTCTTTGACCGCAGTGAGATGGCACTATTCTTTCAACTCCTCCTAGCAAGTCGTCATAACCAGCCCAGGTGAGACCCAGGCCGCTATATAAAACTGGCTCAGTTCTGCAGTCACGAACTTGTTTCTGGATTTCATTAGTGACATCAAGAGCACGGTTCCATATTTGCACTTTAGTCAGATGTCCTTGGAACCCAGCTTCAGTGTAAGCCTTAGGGTTGTCAGATTGAGGCTTGCCGAGTGTTACCCAAACACTGAAAGTAAAATAAATTGTTAGGACAGTTAACCTTTTTTGCGCCAGGGTCACAAATACGTGACAAGCGAAAACTGTCCCTGAGCGCCAACGACACAAATATGTGACAAAAACAGCGGTACATTAAAACACGAAATAAACTATTTAAACATTACTTTAATGCCTATTTATTTATATACCTGTAAAATAGAAGGTCCAAAATTTATTTATTTCCATAAAACTAATTAAATTGCATTATAAATATTGAGAAATTTTACGTTAAAAAGAAAGAAATAAACTCTGAAAAAAGAATGTCCTCACACGCCAGAGTCATAACTGCGTGACCGCTAGTGATGTAGCGCATGTTGGATAATATCATTATTTCAAATCAAAGATCGATTCGAAACTTTCCTCTGGAATATATTATTTTAGGTATAATTTGGTACTAGGATAAAGCAGCATTAATTTTATAAAACCAGTCTTAAAAATCATTCAATAAGCTACATAGTCAAAAATAAAATTTGGTTGGGTCTAATTTCGATATTCACTAATCCCAACTCAAGCGCATTCCTAACGCAACCCGAATTATCAGTACCCTGTACGCCATGGTCACGACTAGACGACAATATCGTGACGTCACAAGCGCGGTGACCAGAAATTAGTGAAGTGAATGAATAATATTTATGATTAATTTACTTGTGATATCGAGTTCAAGATTTATATTAAGTGACTATTATAATGAGTGGGAATTTAATGACTACGGAAGAACTTCTTCGCATATTAGAAGGAGTCTCAGATGACGAAGAATCTTCGGAAACAATTTTCGGATTTTATTTACATATGGCTTACTATTAGATGATAAGATAATACAATGCAGATTTTGTATAATGTTGTTCTATTATTCTAAAGATTTATTAGTATTAGACTGATTGGTAACTGTGATAATTATATATAATGGTTAATTGTTTTAATTTGTTACTTTTTTATGCCTGATAACACATGGCTTACTATTCGCTGGGTGCGCGATGACAGCGCCAACTAGCGGTCGGCGGACTCGGCGGACCTTGGTACGTCAAATAGTTGACTGTCATTGTCTTTACGAGGAGTAAGCAGTGAATAAAGCATGAAGGTGTAGGTAAAGATGGAGTACACAGTACACACTTGAAATACCTACTTGAATTTTTATTTCTCTTCTACTGTCTGAGGTCAGTTTGTTTCAATTTCTGTAGTACACTAGAAAAAGAGATCAGACCTCAGTTTGCCTCAGAGAATAGGAGCGAGAGTATTTGACTCGAAACTTTTATTCTAAGTGTGGGCTCCATATTTACCTATAACTTCGTGGAATAAAGTCTGCCAAAAGTTCCTTTTTTAGCCACGGTGCGCGCTGAGATCGATTTCACTGTCCCCACCATCCACTTTGCACCCAGCGAATTAGATGATCAGAATGCAGGTTGCATTGTAGATTTTGTATAATTTTGTTCTATTATTCAAAAGATTTATTAGTATAAGACTGATTGGTAATTGTGATAATTATATATAATCGTTAATTGTTTTAATTTGTTACTTTTTATGCCACGTTTATAGAACTTAATATTTAAAAACATGTATACATAGTACATACTGTATAACATTTTATTAAAATTTTCTATTTTTTCATAGTTTTTATTTACCTTCTTAACCTATTTCAATCATATATTTTTAAGTACCTGTTACATTCGGAATTATAAATCTGATTTAAAAAACGTGTTTCATTTATTATAAAATAATGTTGTACTAGAACATCGATAAACGAGATATTACGTTGCCACATCCTTATTTCGGAAGCGAAGTAGTTATTAAACTGTCAAACACCAAGCGGTCACCGGTGACCGCGACCTATTGTTCTTTAATTGTGTCTATAAAACCGGTACTCGACGAGTTAAAATGGCGGGCCGTCCACGCCATGGTCACAATATGAAGACAGCAGATCAAGAATAGTGTTGTACCTACAGTTATTATATTTAAATATATTGTAGTCTCATATCTGTTATTACAGTATTATACAAGTCTGTAAATAGTGTATAACTATTACTTTAATAGGAAGAAATGTAATGTTGAATTAAATTTCAATGTTATAAGGACATTATATTTCGAAATTAAAGACGAAAATGAAAATAAAATTGATTATCGATGAAGTTTTGGAATCCCTATTTTTTTCGTAGGTATTTGCGGTGAATTTGTGGCCTGGCGTTGAGGGCAAGTTCATGCGTTTTTGCTCTGGCGTTCAAAAGGTTAATTACAAACTCCGTACAAATACAGTTCTCAAGGTTTTTGATGAAACTTACTATTGTGGTAATGTTCGTCCACTGCCGTAACCTTCAATCTTGCTAGCGATCAAACCTTCAGTAATAAGTGTCAGTTCACCGCCATTGCTACCGTCCCAGACTAAAGCAACGTGGTGCCACTGCCCGTCATTTACAGTTGCGAATTCTCCAAAGCTTAGGTAAACATCTTGAAGTTCCGGGAATAGGGAAACTTGGACGCCATTTGAGTGAGCTTGTATAATTTGTTTTCTGTTCAAAGCAATGTGGGAGTTGCTGAAAATGGAAAATTATATAATTAATTTAACGAGAACTTTAAATAGCAATTGTAATTGTATACTCAATTGTTTTATGTTTATTATTATACACACCTAACGCTGTAGGCTGTAAAGAATACTCCGCCTTCGTCTTGTTGTGTGTATTGGACCCACATCGCTATTGTCAGACTATCAGTCGATCCTGTATCGAATGGCACCACTTGAGCCGCACTCGAACGCATTGGGTCGCTGAAGTAGAGGTCGTAATCTACACTTATTGCTGAAATAAAAATGAACATAGCATTTAGTTTAATGTACGTTATAAAGCGAGTTCCTATTAATTAAAATTATGGTATTAGAAGAAAGATTTACTTTTTCTGCAATCGTCACCAGTAAGGTTGAAAGGACATTGGCAGTAGAAACGGCCTGGTAAATCGATGCAGGTAGCTGATGGAGGGCAAGAGTTCTCCTTGCAGTCAACGATGTCTTCATCACAGTTCTTTCCTTGGAAGCCTGGTGCACAAATGCAGCTATAACCTTCTCCGTCGTCGACGCAAGTAGCACCGTTCTGACAGAGACCAGCTTCACATGCGTCGAACTCGTATTGGCAACCAATTCCAGTGTAGTCTTGAGAACATGTGCAGTTGAGCCCAGAACCGAAGTCCTGGCATTTTCCTCCGTGCATGCAAGGGCTGCCGATGCATCTTTCAGGAGCAGTTTCACATTGTTTGCCATCTGTACCACTTGGGCATCTGAAATATCGAGATATTTTTTTTGTTACATATTACATGTTTTCTTGTTATTTTTAACTAAGAAGGAGAAATGTTTAGTTTTAAATACTTACACGCAGAAAAAGTCTTGGAAGAGATCGATACATTTTGCATGGTTTTGACAAGGCATGTTCATACAGTTGCCAATGTCTTTCTCGCAACGTTTTCCAGTCCATCCCGGTGGGCAAGCACACTTGAAGTCACCAATATCGTCTTTGCATGATCCACCGTTGAAACATGGGTCCGAAGCACAGTCATCAATGTTCGTTTCACATGTCTCTCCCGTGAATCCTTCACGACAGACACATTGGTATTTGTTGTCAAGGTCAATACACTTCTCAGTACCCACGGCATTGCAAGGCTCATTAAGACATTCATCAATAGCTGTTTCACATTGAAGCCCAATGTATCCTGGACGGCATTTGCAAATAAATCCGTCAATTTGATCGACGCATGATGCACCATTTTGGCATGGGTTGGACGAGCAGTCATCGATTGTGTGTTGACATCTCTTGCCTGTGTATCCAGCTTCGCAAATACAGTTGAAGTCATCAATGCCATCAATACATTGCCCTCCATTTTCACATGGTGAAATTACACATTCGTTGATGTTGATGTCACATGAAGGGCCAGACCAACCTGGGTCGCAAATACATTGATGGACGAAGAGTTTATCAACACATATTCCGTGTTTGCATGGTTCATTCGAGCACAGATCTATTTTCTCTTGGCAACGTTTGCCTGTAAAGCCTGGTGGGCAACCGCAACTAAAGTCATTAACTAAGTCTGTACAAGGAGCGCCAAGGAGACAAGGCTTTTCAATACAGTCGTCAGTGTTGATTTCGCAAAGTTGGCCCTCCCAACCTGGCAGACATTCGCACTTGTATCTGCCTTGTTGAAGTGCAATACAATTGGCACCGTTTGTGCAAGGGTTTCCATTAGCCGAACAAGGATCAATCTGCAAAAAGTGAATTGTAATTTGATAAAATTAATATATGTTACTTTAAACTAAACAAGTAGAATATTTACATGTAGATCAACAAGTAGAATAAAAAATGCTTAATGGTAATACATACCGTGATGTCACAATCAACGCCCGTGTATCCTGATCTACATAAACAAGTGTAGTTATTGAATCCAGGCTCATCTTTGCACATAGCCCTCTCAGGACAGGTGTCATTTCTGCACTCGGACCTTTCTTCTTGACAGTTGATACCTCCATATCCTGTAGGACATGCGCAGCGGTATCCTTGTGGCAGGTCTGTACAAGTACCGCCGTTATAACAAGGTTGACTTGCGCACTCGTCGATGTCAATTTCACATCTGCGTCCTGAGAATCCAGCCGGACAGTAACATTGCACTCCATGTCCTTTAGGTACACATAATCCGCCATGTTGACATGCGCTGTTTGAGCATTCTACCGGTAGACATTCTTCTAAGCCTGTTGCACCCGTTCCTACAGTCTTCATGTTTGTCGGGCATTCCATGCACAAGGTTTGTCCAATGAGGTTTTGGTAGAAGTTTCGTGGACACTGAGAGCACGGAGCTAATCCAGTTGGGGAGTAAGTTCCTGGTGCACACTTAGCTCTGCACCTATCTCTACCGGGAGCAGCGGGTTGGTATGTGTAGGTGTTCACTGGACAAGCTTGACAGTCCTTAAATCCACCGAGTGGAGGTTCCCCAGTGTAGCTGTTTCTAGGACACTCCAAGCAAGGAACCAATCCAGTTGGTGAGTATGTACCATAACCACAAACTGGGATGCAGTCATTAATGTCTTTGGAACCTTCTTCCCTTGTGAATGTTCCTTGAGGACACTTCAGACATGATCCTTGACGAGCTTGGTTTTGGAAGAATCCTCGAGGGCACATTGTACAGGTCTTTTGTTTCTCTTCTGCAAAAGTTCCAGCTGGGCAGTGTACTGAAACATACAAAAATAAATGAGTAAAATTATATTTACAAAATATAATACCTATAATCGACAAGTTCAACAAAAAATAAGCACTTACAGCATCTTGGAACGTCATTCGTGTCCATGTTCAATACTTCGCCAACGCTACAGGTGAATCCTTTAGTAATGGAACTTCTGATCGCTCTCAATGGCGGACATTGGTTGCCAATAGACGATACATTCAGTACCGGTTCAATAAGAGCACTAGCGTATGGCACGGATAAATCAAATATAAGGTTCAAAGTCGAACCACAGAGGTCGTAGAGCTGAGTTTGTCGAACAGCGGGAATAATCGCCAATACGAAGTCCATTTTCACAACATTTTCATCGAGCAGCGTTGGGATCACGTTGACGAATGTTACGTTAATATTTACGTTGACGGCTGAACAACGTTGCGTTAGTCGGTCGTTTAGAACATTGTCGTATTGAGCAACCAAGTCCTTGTATTTCGGTAAGCAGGCATTGGAAACAGCTCCGAGAGCGCGGTATTGAACAGTAGAAACGACGTGGTAGGCAGCTTGTTGGGTATCTGTAACAAATACCGCATAGTATTTAGAATTTTGTTTCTATTCCATAAACTAGTTTTTAAAATAATCGATACTTACTTTCAGAAACACAGTCGGGCACCACTGATGTGGGCACCCATTGGCGTTTGTTTTCGCACACAAACGTCTTAACTGGTTCTCCATCGGTAAATCTGAAGCCAGGACTACATGTGGCAATACATTGGATTCCCCTGTCTCCAGGTAGACAGTTCATGGCACCATGTGCAGGCGGCATAAGTTCCCAGTCTACACAAGGTGTGGCTTGGACAGATACCTTAAAAAACAAAAAAAATAATGTAAATAAAATCCTGTTTAGATTTTATCCATACAATATATTTTTATTGTAACAATTCTTACTTGGAAATTGCACTGAGCTCTGTTTCCGTATTTGTCGGAGGCGATAACCGTTACATTTTCATAGCCGCGTATGGGGATGACAGCTCTTTCCGGTATGAATTTAAGGAAAACCTCGCCGGAAGCATCTGTTGCGTTTATTCTTCTCCTGGTTTCATTGAAATTGACAGCGTAACTGTCTTGTTTGTCAACTAGTTCTATAACGTAACTTTGTGGACAGCTGAGTTTGGGAGGAGTGTAATCGGGGACTGTGATGTTCACCTCACAGATAGCAACATTTCCATCAAAGTCGAAAGCTACGTATCGTACAACCATATTGTGGAATACTTGGATAGGAGTTCTGAAGTGCTGAGGTGTTACTTCTAATCTAGCTATAGCACCAGAGTTGTCAGTTGCTGTAGGCTCAGTAAAGTTGACTGGTAACAGACCACCGTTGACGTCAGTTTGTACTACGATAGGTTGTTGCGGACAGTTCTGGAAAACTGGTGGCTCGTTGTCTGAAATAAACATAATATTTTAGTGTCATTGTTTCTCAGCACCAACAATGTTATCGTAAAAATAAAGTCCTTATACTTACCAACACAAGGAGAGTATCCGTAATCGTAACCCAAGAGGGGATCTACAGCAGGCTCATCACAACCCATCAACTCGAATTTTAGACAAGCATTATCCATGAAACTGACTATACCCAAAATAACGAATCTAGCTTGAACAAACTTGGGCAAGGTAATCATAGCCAGTTCACCGTAGTTTCCAGGATCTCTCATGGTTAAGTTGAAGTTAGGGAAATAAACAACATAGTTCTCATTTTCAGCTTGTTTGTAGAAGAATCTGATTTCTGTTGGTCTGCCTACAATGTCAGATGTAACGACACCCTTCACCAGGATAGCCTTCACTCTATATACTTTGCCTAAGTCAACGCTTACGTATGTGAAAGCTTCTTGTTTGCCACACCAACCGGTTACTGAATTAAGCCTGATGTTTCTTGCTTCGTAATTAGGCCTTTCTGATGTCGCGTTGATAGCTGAGTCAGGAATTCTTCCAGATGCCAAACCAAGAGGCCTGATGACCTTGCATTCAGGTTCGCGTATACAGGTAATAGGTCTCGGGTTAATCAAAATGTAGCCTGGTCTCGAACAACCAAACAGAACTTCGGAGCCTTGTTCGTAGCTTCTTGCAATTTGGTAACCATCGGCAGGTCTGCCTGGATCTTCGCAAACTGGTCCTTCACATCTCAAATCTCCGAAGTCCCAAATGCCATTAGCTTGACATCTGACTACATTGTCGTGTTTGCTTGTTTGTCCAGCAAGTTTGAAAGTGTTCTGGCATCCAAAGAAGAAGGAACTCTGATACTTGGTGTCAAGGTACTGGCCATATTCAGCTCCTGGCGTAGGCATTGGGATACCGCAGTCCTTTCTGGGACATTGTGGTTGAGCTCCAGAGAACCAGTAATCGGGTAGGCCCTAAAATAATAATTGATTTAGTATTTTGAAATAATATACATGGGATGCACATGTGGGGTAAGTAAATGTTTAACACTTACAGGTTTAGGGTCATACACGCACTGTCTGAATGATGATGTGACAGTGTTCCTGAGTTGTCTTCCAGGTGAGGTGCATGTAATTGTAACGTTATCCCTGTATGGAACTAGTACACTATCAGGATCATCTCTGATCACCTTTAGTCCGTCGTTTTTGTCGTCAGATAATGTTACACAACGGGCATCTGTAAAAAACATTTTGATTTAACAAAGAGTCTCATCAGAGGCTTAATTTAATACGAGTCTGTTTAACGTTTAAAGTCATCGAAACGAGTACGCGTTCGGCCTCTGATTGGCCAGCTCCAATGAACCAACCGCCGAACCCGTACTCGTTTCGATTACTAGTAAATTATGTAAAGTTTTTATTTTTTTACTTACATTGACATTCAGGTGCAGTTCCGTTCCAGGTTCCACTGGAGGTACAAAGAAGTGAAGAAAATCCAGACATTACAAATCCAAAATCACATTGGAATTGGACAATATCGCCAAAGTGATAAGCATCCTTTGTGGACAGCAATTTCCCGTTTTCTGGTGAACTAAGAGGTGGGCACATGACTGGTACGCAAGATTTGTTCCTTTGGTAAGTGTCACCATCTCTCTCACCAGTTTCCGATTTTTCAATGGTGTAACCAGCTGTACCGTTGGCGGAATAGAGTTCGTAACCAATGTTGCAAGCACAAGAGAAGTTTCCAGGTCTGAAAACGAAAATAAGCATCGTTAGACACGTATTGAAACGTACAGTTTAATTGATTTAATGAGAACCAAACAAAACTTACGTGTTTATACATTTCTGGTCACATCCTCCATTGTTTTCGCTACATTCGTTGATGTCAGTGCAGTCTAATCTAGCGCATCCCATGATCTCAATCTTCAAACATGGTGCACCAACGTAGTCTTGGATCTTAAACTTGACATACTGGGCTTCAATAGGTACTGGCAGGTTAAGGACAGATAAAGTAGGTTCAAGAATACGGAACTCTACAGCAGTGCCATCAGGGTTAGTGTAGTCTTTGAAGACATCGGTCAAATCGTTAGTGTACTGAATCCTGATTGCAGAAGTGAAAGCTATGTTGCCATCGGCGCGCATAACGCTCATAGTCCTGAATCCACGGATGATCGTTGGTGCTCTCAAATCAATAAGGATCCAGTTGGCTCCGGCCTCTAGGTTGTTACCACACCATCCACCTCCGTTGCCCAATAATCGTACCATCTAGAAAGCGAAATAGTTTAGATTAATATCAGGTAAACAAATCGAACAACAAAATTATGATAAATTTCTCATTTAAAAACTAACTCCTTTAGCATATCCAGGTTCTGGTGTAGAAGTGGTGATGGACTCATCAGGAATAGCTCCATTGATCAGTCCTAAATCGCCAACAGGTCTGCAGTCCAAGTTTGGTGTGAAGCCAGGTCTGCAGGGGCAGAAGAAACCACCCTGGCTGTTTTTACATTCAGTTGACGCTGAGTCACATTGGCTGCTGATACATTCATTGATGTCTTCACAAGTTGGAGGGTTATCGAATTCTTGGTTGGGTCCACACCTGAGTACGCTAGGACCATTCAGTTTGTATCCTGAAAAACAAAAGTATTTCATTTTAACAAGACTTCAAAATAAACAAATATATCAGTATTTTGTACCTTCTATTTATATTCTATATATACGGTAAAATGGATATTTTATTAATCAAAGTACATTAGTTACGTACCTTTGAAACATTGAACACGCGCTTCGTCACCAAACATGTAAATCCTGGTTTGGTCAACGATGAACCCGTTCTTAATTTCAGGGAACTTGGGGCACAATGCCTTGGAACAAGTTGGCACATCTCCTGACCATGTTCCGTTACTCATACACAATAGCACTGGCTGTCCAGATCTTACGTAGCCGGGTTCACACTCGTAGCGAACAATTGTACCGTAGCTGCGACCTCCGCCATTCAAGATCGTCACATTGGCGTGAGGGACATCCGGCAAGGCTACACATTGTGATGCTGTAGAAAAAAGAAACAAAAAATGATATGGTTGTTCGTACACACCATATAGATTTTTTTATTTATTGAGAAGAAACTCCTTGGTTTAATTAAAATAGTTTTCCTTTGACTCACCCAAACAAGTTGGTGTTCTCTCCCATCGTCCATCAGATAAGCACGAGATTCTTTCGATAGGCTGTCCAGTTGGGAAAGCAAATCCAGCATAACATTGGTAAGTTGCAACACCTCGATAAGTCACGTTTGTAGAGCCAATTGAAAATCCATTATCGATTTGTGGGACTGGACCGCAGTATACCTCTGTAAAGTAACAATAAAATCACATAAGCATCTTTATATAACTTAAAGCGATATTGCATTGCACAATGCCACAAGTCCTCGTTTGTTACTTGCCTTGACAGCTAGGAATGTAAGTAGTTGACCATTTTCCTCCGTCTAAACATTTTGTTGTGATACGAGATTTCCCTGTGGCGAATTCTTGTCCAATCGGACATGAGAATGTTATAACTGTACCAAAGGCGGTATCTCTGTTTGACGCTAAAGCACCAATTCCGGATTTAAGAGTGGGGCAATCTGGAAAATAAAATGAAATAAAATAAAAACTTAATACTCGTCTATTTGTTCAGGATTTGTTTCCATCGCAGCGTGAATAGCTTACCTGCCGAGAACGTCGCCTTCCAACCTATTCCATTATGCAAAGCATCAGACATAAATCGTATCAACATTTCGCCACTGGAAGCAGTCAGTGTTATTCTTGGTTTTACGATGAATCCATTGTCGGAATGTAATCTTAAACCACTTGTGCTAGCTCCGTCGAAAACTTGCACTATGTCAGATGGATGAATGTTAAATTCGTCGAATTTCAATGACAGTGGGCCACCGTTAGGGTTCTTTATTCTATATAAGCATTCTTGGTTATTCGGGTAACTTGCAAGACCGTAAGCAGGCGATGTAACAGTACCATTCGCTGCTATAATAGTTGCTCGGCAACCTTGAGAATATCTCATGTTAAATCCTTTTTTAGAATCACCAAGACTCGTTCGGAAGTACATGTACAGATGATTTGTCGTCGATATAACAACCTTTTGATTTTCTTCGCCTGGTCCAGTTAACCTTGCTAAGACGGGGCTGGATGGAGTGTTACCGTCCTTAATAACGATGTAATCACGGTTCATACCCAGTTCTAAATCTTCAACCTCTAATGAGACTATTCTACCTGGTTGAGCTTCGATGACGTATACACATTCTAAGCCACCAGGATAACCGTTTGGATAACCAGGCGATGTTAATACTTGACCCTGAGGTGTCGCTCTAAGCATGCCACCACAGTTAGAAGATTCCGTTTTCCAAGCAGCACGGAAACCTTTCCTTTCTACTGACCCATCTGTACTGAATTTAATTATCATAAAGTTCGATGCGGATACGAAAATTTTGTTAGATAAATCCTGTTTGCCGGAAAGTGTCGCTAAATTAACAGATTTATCTTCGGTTCTGCCGCCCACCAGAATTTGAACAGTGTCGAAAGACTTTTCAGTTTCAAAATCTTGGAACTGTAGAACGATATTTTGACCCTGTGGCCCTTCGAGAGTCCATTTGCATTCACTGAAGGGAGGATATTTGTGTGGATAGTTGGGACTCTCGACTACATCTCCGCTGCTGGCCATGTAGAAGTGACATTCGGAAGCACAGTCCATTTCGTCGGAAGCATCACCACAATCGTCTTGCTTGTCGCATTTGAAGGCTGCGTTTATACATTTTCCATTAGAACAATGGAAGGTTCCTAAAACAAATAAATTTTTGTAAGTATTGTTTCTTAACCTTAACATTGTATGGCTACTTTTGTAATTGAGCATGCAAAAGTTGATTAATAAACAATTGAGTGTTACTTACCGGCAGGGCAGGCAGTAGCACGGCACATGAATGGAAGCAGAGTTTCGCAGGTCGTTAATTCCCACGACTGGCTGTCGGATGAGACGTGGACGTCGACACATTCTCCTTGTTTGGGGTTTGGCTGTCGTAGGTCCCAAAAACCTGCGTACTGCGATACCAGAGCACCAGCAGCTGATTCGAGTGTGTTCGTTCTTAAGTCGTCGACCGTCGCGAGTCCGAGCCAGTAGTGGTTGTTACTGGGACTGGCTGGCACCATGCTGGCAGTCATGTTGTTTTCTGAATAGCTATCTACAACCATAAGTTCGCTGCCGTACCTGAAATATAAAATTCGTTAGAATACAACGCAAACTTTATTAATAAATAGAAAACCTGTTAACAATCTTGTATTAGATTAATTACCTTCGACATAGTTCTGCCGCTTTCTCCCATGAATGCCTGATGTTGAAGAATTTGTAACAATGTAAGCCTTTCAACTCCCATCCTGGAAACAAAACGAAAGAGCGTGATAAGAATGGACACAAAATTCATCACTTAAATATTTGCTAAGAAATATGTTGACTCTACAAATTACTTAGCGCACATTTATGTACAGACCACAATACGTAAAAGATTAGAAATTATGTGTAAACGTGGCCAGGTAGTGGACGCAGGCTTTCTCCTTTCAAAGGGCTTTCGGTGAAAGCCATTCATTTCGTTATAAGATGTACAAAATTGTGTGTACATTGTGAGCCTTTATGTACCTAAACTATTTGAGAGCCGGGAACAATTTCACGTAAAATTCACGTTAACTAATAAAGTAACCGCACAGTTATTTGGTCGGGTCGAGGATCGTGAACGACGAAGTCGAGAGCTCGGCGACGGATCGCAATAATTGTTTCCTCAAGCAAAAGTTTAATACGTCCTGATTGTGAAGTTGAATTAGCCGAAAGCGATTACTGGTTCGGAATTAGCAATTCAACAGGTGTGCTTAACTAGGCTATGAAACTCGTAAATTATAGAATTAATAATTTACGGAACGATTCTTAGCGAAGCATTTGATACATTTTTGAGATATTTTATTAGAAAACGAGTACAGAGAGCCGGTTATTTTTACTTAGCCAAGTAAATAAGATTCTGCTTTATAATATTAGGTACCTAAGTGGAATTTGGATAGGAGTACCTCTTTGAAGTATTAAATTGAACAAGATATTTAAGTCACTAGGTTTCACTTTGTTGATAAGTTCTAAAGATCTTCTATAAGCTGTAAACTCAACATAATAGACATTAGGCCTAGTTTAAGTTTTGAAAGCCTGTTAGGTAGCTTGTAGGTATAAGAATTGTAAGGTTTTCTCTCAAATTGTTCTATACATGTAATAGCAATCTTTGGTAGTGGAATTTTAACAGTAATTAGAGATGGTGGCACTCGTTTTTATCCTGAAACAGAATGAAGTGTAGGCGCTGTACCTACATGTGTGGTCTGAAGCAATTTGTACGAGTTAACAATTAAGATTCCCAACTAGAAAGTACTACCTAACAGTTTAAATACAGAACTATATCATAGTTCCCTCATCCTTTCAATCTTCTACGCTAAGTTGCTGTCTCCGAACTAAAACAATGTCTTGTTATCGAGTTCCGCAACTAACCGCAACAATATAACATTTCGTGAAGTCAAACAACAACTTTTACAATATCCCCTTAAAAGTTTGTTTGGCAAATAAAACTAGGGAGAAAAGTCCATATGATATTTATTCGATTTCCGCGCATTAAAGTATGAGATAAAAAAGTAAATAGGCATAAATAGAGCGTGCGAGTTTGACGAGCGATCGCGAAGACCGCGGCGTATGCACGCTTCACCGCCCGCCGTCCGCAACACGATGCAATGTGTTTGACCCACTTAGCTAGTTATGTTACTGCAGCGAAATGCAATCACTCTGTATACGAATATATTGTACGGTTAAAACTAAAACTGTAAACATAAACTGAGCGTTTTATGGACCAGCTTTTTCACGAATCGTAACCGGAAACATGACTGTGCAATTTAGCAATTTAACATAGAGGAAGTAGTTTTCTGGCTAGCAATAGTACAAATATTGATTGATTTCATTTGCATTGTAGCAAATTGTAAGTTTTGAACGTATTTTAATAAAGACATTGAAACAATGAAAAGCTTACGATCCAGTTGGAAATGTCGGAATTAGTCTGGTTGCGACATAAATACTGTTCATATCGCATGAAACTATTCGCGAGAGCATGCCCGCCTACCTACATACAGTTTATGGTTACGTGCGTTGGGCGTAATTATCCCGCATAGTGGCAAGTCACTGGGTTTTACTGAATAGCCTAACGCGCGAAGGAACGATCAAAGCGAATGGGTTCCATTGATTTTGCAGCTTATTGCGGCCGCGGGAAATCTTCACAAGCACATATTCTCTGTAGATAGGTAATCATCATTGGGCCAATATTAAGTGTAACATTATTAAATGTTACGTAAGAAGGTACTTTGAAGTTTGAATTTCTTGAAAGCAGAAGTCAAGTGGCAATTTTATCGTCAGCTAAAGGAAAAACTTGTAACTATATTAAATTGGTAATTAAGTTGAAACTGAGCTCGTATACAAAATAGGTTAGTTACAACTTTTCCTGAAGTAAATAGATCGAAAACTTGCGACAATATAACATTTACTAGACGAGATCGGTTTGCTCATTCCATGCTTGTTCTTGTGTAGTACAAGTATTACAGTTACTGTTCCTTACATGCATTTTCCCACATGTTAGGTAGATGAATATCTTAGGTAATGGGTTTCATCGGGGATCGCATTCATTTCCCATGTCTGCAGCCTCGGATGACTGAGCTTTGTAACTGTTGAATATCGAGATATGAGCCTTTCAATCATCTCGGTACATGCCTACTTAGTACCTTTCTCATTGGAGAAAGCTGATTTTTAATCGATTACGCACATTAATGTCTTTTCATTAGACACGCTTAGATATTCGTGTATGTAATGTGAATAGAGTTACGAAATCATTGACATTTAACATTGCAAAAATATGTTCGAATAATTAAGTGAAAATAGTTTGATGACGGATCTTCGTGTTCGCAAACATTAATTCTTGCGTCATTGTTAATTTGTTTGTATTCAGGAATTTAATTAAGAAATTGTGAAGTTGAAACATTAAAAGTGTCGATAGATTTAACATTTAAGATAGAATTAATTAATCTTAATTAGGTGTTTGGAATATGTTACAATAATTTGAGATGGCAACACAATACCGATTACTTTTCGACGAGTAAGAAGACTTTCTTAGCAACTTTATAAGACAAAACTAAAGATTTTCCAAGATGAAAGTGTATACAAACTAAACAGTTATGCGTCAATAGGGCTTGTAGTAGTCGGGAGGAGAGCAATGTCGACCGGTCGCCGACACGGTCGCTGCCGATCAATTGTGTCGAGTGCCTCTTAGCAAGGCGAACCTGAAGCCTATGAAGGATATACGGATATGCCTCTGCACCGGAGATTGACTTACTGGTCTATTTACATCCTAAGTATCTACACGAGAAACGCCTACACCGTCTTGCTTTATTATCTACCATAACTTCATATACCGAAAATCAAAATGAGATTAACAACATTGCTGGTCTTGTAATAAAGATGTCGATGCAATATTTTCGCAACGGTAGCGTTAATTTTTATATTCTTATCGAGAATCTAATTGGAGTTGATCGTGGGAAGAATGCAATCGTACGCAATGAAGTTTATAAATTGTAGTTTTATTTAGTTAATGAATGTTATTGTTGTATATTGATTTTGTTTATTTTCCATTTGCCGTCGAGAGATGTTTGAAGTAGGTACCTAAGTATTTATGTGTACATAAAATATAATTCAATTACATAAACGTGTCTATACTTACCTACATCTACAGAATCCGATTAAACTATTGAAGTATCTATTAAGTAACTATTATGTGACCTTTTCGGGTAGTTTCCGATGGTGACGAAAATAGATCATCATTAATGTTTATTTTCCTGACATACAGGTAATGTCATGTATGAAAGCGTTTCTGTATCTAACGGCGAAGAGTCAATAACCGAATGTAGGTCCACGAGGCACTGGATCCCAACTATGTTATACGTTTTTAATGATGAAAATTTCAAGAGTACCTAACTTGTTTAATGTCCTATTGCTTAGACAACTTACTACAAGACAAACAGGTTATATTTAGTTGTAGGTGCATATCGATATTAGTAGATAAGGCTTAAGTGAGTCATGTCTTGGCTATGTACACGGTCACACATCGAGCCGAACAAACCAGTTTATCTAGCTCTCGCTTTGTATAATCTTTTCGCACACTTGACGGTCAGTTTATGCTGGTTCTGTATAGGTTTAGCCGTGTGGGTATGAGGTTCTCCTTTCACTCATTATAAATGTGAACCTCCAAGGCTAGTCCGCCGTGACTGTGCCACTACAAAGCCTATATTGTCTCGTTAGAAAAAAAATCAATCAATGATATTTCGTGTTCTGTTAACTTACGACATATGCATGTTGGTACGTGTTAACGAGTTTCGTGTGTGTGTGTGTGTGTGAGTGAATTTTAAAACCAGTCTCTGTTTTTGATAACCTCAAATATTTAGTTAAAAGTTTTGTTTTCATTGTTTTACGGTCGAATTTAATAATCGACCTTAAAGCAAAATTTCTGGAATAATCTAGTTGTTTGATTGATGATTAGAAAATTACTAATGTCAAAAATCGATCTTGTTCAAAACATTTCAATTAAAAAGCTTTTGATAAAGATCGGTTATTAATTAAAAATTGGATATCGCAGTTTAAAAGATTCAGGTTTATAAAAGAGACTGCCTCGTTGGCCGAAGGGGTCTCGGGTTCGTTCCCGGATCGGGCAAACTATTACTGGGTTTTATTAATAAATTCTTAGTAGTAGCAGGAGTCTGAAATTGTGTTCGGTATATGGCAAAAGGGTACTCTCTTTTACATGAGAATCATAACACAAATAGTGAAAAGTGGTTGTTGCATTGTACAGTGGTATTAAGTGCAGTAATGTACACCTCTGCCTACCTCTTCGAGGACAAAAGGCGTGATGTTATGTGTATGTGTATTGCTTTACTCGCTTTCTGTATAATGTGTAGTCAGTATAGTACCCGTGACAAGACAAATGTTTCCTACTCTGACGTCATCATGAACAACTTATAACAGTTACAACCTTATAACTAAATACGCAATTCCAACTAATTACAATCCTCCTTTGCCATTCAAATTAAATCCATATTAGTTCACAGTTAAGTAATCTCTTAGGTTGTAATTGAACAATCATAGTAGTAAGTGCTACTGCCTTACAAACTAAGTGACCTAGATTTTGCCGCTCCAAATGTCGTGATGTCGTGAAGATGCGTGCCAAGTTTAGAATACTCTTGATAGCTGTTGGACCATGCTTGAAGTTGACTGACATTTTGTATTTATTTAAGACATTTTCAACTTTATTCGCAAGCTTATA